GACATCATCAAGGCCGAAAAGGTGCCGTCTTTCATCAAGGATTACAAGGACTACAATACCCACACCAAGGTTCACTTTGTGATCCAGCTTGATGAGAAGCACATGAAGCTCGCTCTGTCCGAAGGATTGGAGGAGAAGTTCAAATTGACCAAGTCGATTGCCACGACCAACCTTGTCGCCTTTGATGCCGAGGGTCGCATAACCAAGTATGCCTCCGTCGATGACATTCTCAAAGAATTCTTCCACATTCGCCTCAAGTACTACGAGAAGCGCAAGCAATACCAACTTAACGACCTCCAGAAGGAACTGGAAAAGCTCAGCAACCAAGCTCGCTTCGTGCAGGAGATCATCGATGGTAAACTGGTCATTTCCAAGAAGAAGAAGCCTGTTCTGATCAGCGAGCTGAAGGAGAAGGGCTTCAAGCCAATTGCCAAGGTGGCCGAGGCCGCCAAGATGGGTGAAGATGAGCCAGTGGTTGAAGGAGAGGAGGAGGAAGAGTCGGATGAAGCCGAAGTTCAAGTGCTCTCTAATTCCTTTGACTACCTTTTGGGTATGCCCATGTGGTCTTTGACCCAGGAGCGCGTGGAGAAGCTCCGCCGCCAGATTGGCGATAGGGAGGCTGAAGTTGATGCCCTTATCAAGTTGTCCAAGGAGGACATCTGGAGACGTGATCTGGATGACTTCATCAATGAGTGGCGCTTCCAGCTCGAGGATGAGGACCGCCGTTCGCGCAAGATGGCTAGCTTGGGCCGTCGTGCCTCGTCCAAGCTGGCTACTGGAGGTGGCCGTGCTGCCACTGCCCGCAAGCGCAAGGCCGCCAATGGCGATGATCCCGACGATGAAGATTTCGGGGCTCCTAAGACCAAGAAGGCTGCTGCAGCTAAGAAAAAGGAGCCACAAACCAATAGTTTGATGAATTTCCTCAACAAATCCTCAGCTAAGCCAACCCCATCGCCTGCGGCTGGTTCAGATGATGATTTCGATATGGATATGGAGGTCCTTCCCAAGAAGAGCCGTGCCACGTCGAAGCCTAAGTCTCAGCCCAAAGAAGAGGATGATTTCATCGACATCGACGATGTCCCCCAGGCTTCGAGAGCGTCGACTCAGCCAGCCGATGATCCAATGGACGTTGACGAAGTCGAAGCTCCGAAGCTCAAAGCGGCTGCCAAACCGGCAGCTAAGCCAGCCGCCAAACGAGGACCTAAGCCGAAGCCCAAGGTTGATGAGGACTCAGATGACGATTTCTTGGAAATTGCCAAGAGCGAGGCAACCAAGCCCGCTGCCCGTGCTCGCAAACCTGTGAAATACTCGGCGCCCAGCGATTCCGATAGTGACAATGGCGACGACCTTCTCGGCGACGTCAGCCAGATGGTCAAGGGCATTGGGGCTGACTCTAGTACGGATTCTCGTCAGCTCTTCTCTGAGCGACCCCGTTCCGAGAGCAGTGCAAGTCAGAGGACCGCTGCCGCCAGGCTCTCCAAGGCCAACGATGAATTTGACCCAGATGAGACCGATTACAGCAAGCTCATTCCACAAAACTCCCCAAGACGTTCTATCCAGGTCAAGCCTAAGGATGTGAAGGTTGACAGCATCGATGATGTGGACGACGAGGACGAGGAGCCGGTCAAGCCTACTGCCAAGGGAAAGGCCGCTCCTAAAGCCAAGGCTGCTCCAAAGGCAGCGGCCGCCACAGCGGCGCCAAAGGCTCGTGGTCGCCCCAAGAAGGATGCCGCTACAGCCCCCAAGGCTGCTCCCAAGGCCGCTCCTAAGGCTGCCGCATTGTCGCCGGCAGCCAAGGCCTATGCTTCGAAGCAAGCCAAGTCTAAGAAGCAGCTCGCAGACGACTATTCGGAGGATGATATTGATGCCATGGCAAACGACATCTTGGATTCACCAGCCGGCAAGGTCAATGTCAATGCGTCGGATGATGATGACGATGAACCTGCACCAGCTCCTCGTCGTGGTGCTGCTGCCAGCCGACCATCTCGTCGTACCGCTACCACTCAGAAGAAGAGCTATGTCATTGACGATGACAGCGATGAGGAGGCATCGGCCGACGACTTTGAGGAGGAAGATGAGAGTGACTAAGCGTTGAGCAATCAACCGCAGATACATATTTGGGGCTCTTCCTTTTCTTTCCTTGTTGTGCTCTCCATTGCCTTGTCTTTCCTTCTTTGCTTTTCATTTTTCTGTCTTAGTTACACTGATATCTTACGTTGATATTTTATGGAGAGCCAGCTAGCGTATCAGTAGTGAACATTATTTAATTTATGTCGTCTTGCTTTGTAGATGAACTGGTAACAAGAAATTCGGTTAGTTGAAGCAAGGAAATGACTAGTTCCTCTGAAGGTGTAGAATGCTAGCACAAAGAGAGAATGAGAACAATTTCGATTGATATCCACCCTAACGCCGTCCAGTCTACCCATACCCAGTCATGATTCAAACAAATACTTCATTCTCAGACAAATTTCTTCAAAACGTCATACGAAAGAAAACAAAGTCCGCCGAACTTTTAACACTCATTCACATGATGCGGACAGAATCGATCCTGACCGACTCGACCACACATACTTTGGACATCCAACAAAGCATCAAGTCATAAAACGCATAGAAATCACCGCCACACAGAATTCTTCAGCTCCAAGCCGTTCTAGAAAAGAAATCAATAGGAGGCACGACGCCGCTTACGATGGTTATGGCCCCAATTCCGAGAAACGAAGCTGAAAGGCGAGCCGAGATCCTCCATCGCAGTATCCATCTCACTAGCTTCCAACTCATTCTTATGCAGATGGAGCAGGGCCTCGGCAGCCTTGACCTCGTGGGCGAAGTGGGGCGACGACCGAGGAGGTAGAGCTCGAGTCTTACGGCTCGGGTTCTTCTTCGGTCTTGAACTGCGAGAGACAGTCTTGGTACTGTGGGATACATCGCCATCTCTCTTAAGGGCTGACCCTCGGTAGTCTTCATCATTGGCGTCATCCTCAGCCCACTCTTCGTCCGAGCAGGTGAGATCATCAGAGTCGCTCGGTCTGGTGTCCATGTCTGAGGGTATACCATCGATATCTCCAGGCTTTGTGATGTCCATGATCCCATCCATCGAGGGGCAGTTTGGTGTGGAATATACGTTCGACGATCCATCACTGTCCGTATCACTGTCCTCGCTGATACCCTCGGCGGCATGATCAGGACGCATCGACTTACAAATAGCAGCGATAATAGTCTTAGGTTGCAAGTGAGGATCAGCATGTGTGCGTGGATGATTGATAGATGTGAAACTCGAAGGCGAAGTGCTCTTAAGCGACATGCAGAATGGCTCCATAGATGAGTCCCTCGCACTGCTAACACCAGCAACACTAGCAACACTGTCCGCATAATTGTGATGAGGAATCTTAGACGGCGAGAGACGCAGATTGAGAGCACCATCACCATCTGTCTCAAGTATTCTGGTCAATGTCTCCGGACCATGGAGGAGGTGATGGGTCATGGAAGGGAGATGGCGGTTTGGGGGCGTTAGCGGGTGAACGGTGCTGTTGCGCACCTCCAGAGAGCGGTAGTACATCGCAGTCTCTGTGGCGCGCCGAATAATCTCTGGTGGGATGACCATGCGACCGTAGTTCTTTCGGTCGTTGGGGGAGATGCACATGGCTGGAAATTCGTTGCCAAATAGCGGAGTTAAGGCATAGCGGATTTTCCAGCAGAAAGTTGCTGCTAGGGCTTTGGCGGCGTCGAATGGCATCCAATAGCCTATACAATAGGAACAAGGTGTTAGTTGTATTTTCCTTTCGGGTATATCGACTAAAGGTGGGCGAGTTGTACATCGTACCTTGAGCGGAGAGTGCTCCGCCGGTGATGCTGTGGCAGATATCGCGGAGACCTGGGTTGACGTTGAGCATCTTGGCTGGGGTTGTCTATTATAGTTAGATCCATAGTTATTGGATGTATTCGAGTTTGACTTGCCTTGGAATAGCCGTTGCATTTGAACAAGTGCGTGATCCGGACAATGCCAATGTTGTAGTCCCACATGACATGCCACTCCTTCTCTTCATTGGGGACCTTGAACGTGTATTGAAAGACTGGGTGAGTTAACAAACAAGAGCAACTACTATTAATATATGTGGTGAGTACATACCATGAAAGCTATCACGGCCAGTCTTCTCTTGGAAGGACTTCTTGTCACTGGCATAGGGGATATGACGAGGGAACTTGGCAATGGACCCCATGGGCTTCATCATAAACTGCTCATGAGCTCTCTCTAGCTCCTCGTCACGATTCTCGTGAGGAGGGTAGCGGCACTCGCCCTGGATCTTACCAGGGCGAAAGACTGGGGCATCTTTAGCCATCCTCGGCCGCTTCAGCGAGGCAGAGACACGGTAAGACCGTTCGGGCTCGATTTCGTGGTTCAAAAGTGAATTGATAGGAATCATGAATGAAAGGTTCAAGGGCTACAGGGTGGAAAGCAAGAAAGAAGAAGAGAAGTTGTCGGGGGGAAGAAAGCAGAAGTAGGGCAGCGGAAGCAAATTAAGGCTCCAGGAATAAATGGCGTTTTCCAGAAGACTCAAAGAGTCAAGCTTGAACAGACCAACAAAGCAAAGCAAGACAATCCCTCACCTTTGTTCGAAGGTTTGTTCCGCACTGCTTGAGGGGTGAGTACAGGTGTTTGCTGCTTGTACCATATATACAGGCTCGAGGAGAGAGACAGCGGTGAAAATCAAAGCACTCGGGAGAGTGTCTGACCCTCATGCAAGTGGCTTCACCGGTACTTTGCCTCCATGGGCCTCAAGTTGGACGAGTCCACGGGCTGTTTGTCTCTCCGTGGTTGGAGCAATGGGAGGCATCCCAATGGTCTTCGACTTTGGACTGACCGCAATGCAGTGTGCATTGTGTCATTCTCATTGATACCGCTGGCAGAGGAAGCGATTATTTGAGACCTATGTCTCTCGTCTCTCGAGGCACTACCTGTTTCACTTGTTGCGACTACCCAAACACACAGAGGCCAAAGAAGCATGGCAGTCAGCCGTTTCAGGGACCATTGGCACCATGTGGATATCCTGGATTCTCTTTGGATAGAGATGCACTCAGTGCGTGCAAACAGCCCATTACGGCAGTCTGCAGAAAAGCTACCGATTAGGTATGCCATGGATCTTGCCTTGTGGCCCTAACATCCCGGGGTAAAGCTCAACCGTCCTACCGTTTTGCTCTCGCAGACAAGAGTACGAAAATCTTATCGAAGCACCCATGTCAGATCAGACTTGGCATCAGAAGTACCGGAGCAAGGGTGCTGCAGCAACCGGAGGATTAGGATCGCGAACCAATGGCCCAATGGGAAGACCCAATGAGCTACATATCCTATGGCTCAACGGGCTCAAAGAGGTCTGAGACCACACGGCAAGCTGCAGGGAAACATACTCCTTGCTATAACGGGAACTGACATTGCCTGCTGGCGAGTCCTTCGCCAGGAAGTGCATCTGAAGGATGCTGTGCTGCAGAGATATACTACTGACCGGATCAAAGATGCTGAGAAAGGTAACATATGCTTCTATAGTTCGGTGTACCCCACGCTTATATCTCAAGCCTGTTTCCTAAAGTAGATAAGTGGCGGTACAGGAAGTCTAGATGTTTGAAGAGATGCTCAAGGCTGACTGTCAAACCATTGACTATATCTAAGGGTTTGAATTAGCTTTCTCTAGGTCATTCTTTGATTTATCACAGAATATATTCCTGTAAACTACCAAATTTGAGAGCCTAATCACTTCCACCTGCTCGAACGAGTCTAGTACATTGGTCAGAGACATAAAGACTCTGGCGGTATAGGACTCAAAGAACTCTCTGTGCATGCTTCTCTGCAGATGTCTGACACGTTGGTGGCGGTTAGAGCCCACTTTTTCGTCTGTTTCTTCCCTATTCTATCATCCATCGTCAGTTTATATGATAGGGCCATACTAGCTTTGTTTCCAGTCCGTTTTGCAACCCCTATTGTACCCACTTAGCCCATGCAGTCCGCAGTAGGCAGAGGTACAAGGGCATCCTCCGCCAATCGGTCCAGAGCTGAAGCAGCAGATGCAGAACACGACAGAATAACGGTGCATATAGTGTCCGACAAGACGCTATGCAATTTTGGCAGAGTCTGGAAAGCTCGAGGGCTAGGGCTTCAACCAGATGCCAACACAACCGGGCTAGTTTTTCGTGAATATGGCTCCATCGCATCGAAGTCGGTCTGCAATGCTTCCCAACCGATGAGCCCGAAAGTCCAGAAAGGAGGTCGACTTTCCAATGTCTAAGACACTATGTTGCATTTCTATTGGGTTCCAAAGAGCGGTAAACCCGGACATGCGTGTCCTCCATCTGCGACGCATCTCAGATCCCGGGCTTCTGGAAAAGGGGCGAGAAGCCATTCTTCAATTGGGATGCTGCTGTTGGGTGTTTAGGCCTTTTCAAATGATCCTTCCTCTTCGTCTTGGTCGTCAGCTAGCCATCTAGTGGCGATATCTCTTTCAGCTTGTCCTTGGGTTCCGCTTGGACGTTTCTATCAAAGAGTTGGGTACTCGCTCTCTAACTCGTTTATCAGCAGTTTCGAGGATATAGTCGAGATCTCGGGATAACAGGCACGACAAAGACTGAAGAACGGGATATTAAGGGGCATCATACCAGTATGAACGTTTCATACTCAATACTGGTTCCACGCTCTGAGAAAAGAATTCAATGTCATCACAAAGAGGCCCAGGCCTCAAACTGCCGGACTCAGACTACAATATAGACCCAACGCCATACCGTCAACCCAAGGAAACACACAAGCCAACCACCGATATCAGGCAACGCTCGGGATATGTACTACAGGCCTCGAATCCGGGGTAGCTGGGGGTGACAGGGAGGGGACACAGTTCCGAGCACGACTGAACAGGGCAAGCCTTCGAGGTTGAGGGGAAGGACAATGGAAAGGAAACAGAACCGTCACAGGCCGGTCCGAATCGCGATGCGGCGAATAAGAAGCCGAGCGAGTGGACCGGGATGAAACTCAACGGCTGCCTCGCTCCCGATACTTACTGTTGAACGCTTGAGATGTGAACAAATGCCCAAGTGGGTTTGGGTCGAGGGCCTTGCGCCTTGCGCTCTCCGTTTCTTCCCGAGAGAGACTGTTTCTTGATGTCGTACTCATACATCACTGGGTAGTCAGCGAGGTCCCTGCGCGAGGCTCGAGGACTGGTACATTGCAGGATTATCTTGATCGGATCTATGGGCATCGAAATCATGAAATCATGAATTTACGTTGATGTAATTTCATTAGAAACAATATGAACCCGAGAAAAGACATGGACAAGGGACGAAGAAGGAGAATAGACAGATAGAAATGCGTTGGAAAGGAAGATGAAGAAAAAAAGGAGAAAACAAGAGGCATGAAAAGCTCATCACTCAAGAATCCTGCATAATTTTTGGTTCGTCGACACGAGGATGTGGTGTTCGGAGCTTAGCATGTATTCCAAGGATTCGAACAAAGGTATAACTCAAAAACCAATCCAGCGTGTCATTCGGCGTATCCAGTTAGACCAGTGACGGAATAAGAATATTCATACACCAAACAGTGTTTGGCTGTCGCTGTCTAACAGCCTAGCTGGCATGCGCGGTCACCGAGATGACCTGGCGTGACAGAAAGGCCAATTTAAACAGCCAGGAGCGGCTCACGCTCGGTCTTCTCAGCAGCCTGCTCCGTGGGCTCAACGGACTCGACAGTCTGGGCCACAGGTGCGACCTTGGGGGCCTCGGGGAAGTCCTCATGCTTGATCAGAGGCTCGGCAACAGGGGCAATGACGGACTCGGGAATGGGCTCAGACTTGACTGGGGCCTTGGACATCTCTGGGGATGTGGAGCGGCGGGAGCCGATGTACTCTTGGGCCTTGGAGCTGTACTCGCCAACGTACTGCTTCATCAAGCCGGTGGCCTGGGAAGTACGCTCGCCAGCCAAATCCTTCAGCTGGCTGGTCTGGGAATTAATAATCTCCTGGAGGTTGCTGATCTGCTCATCAATGATCTCGCGGTTGCTGATGTAGATCAGAGGGGCGAAGTAAGTGGTGGTGACGGCGATCACAGCGAGGCCCCAAAGGGGAACGAAACGGATCAGCCAGTAACCGGTGAAAGCAGCAGTGAAAGCCTATACCCATCAGTTTCAGGTCTCAAGTCAGATTGGTTGCTGGTGGTTTCGAACATACCGCAACGGTGTGGAGGACATTCTCAGCGAACAGAATGCGCTGGAATTCAATGAGGAAGAAGTCCACAAGCTGCTCCAGGTCCTCGAGCACAGCCTCAACGGTCTCCTTGGGAATGGTGTAGTAACGGCGGGGGCGGAATCCACTGGCGATACCCTTCTTGAGAATGACTTGGCCGGCAATCTCAACGGTGGCGGTCACTATAACATCATTGTCAACTGATCATCCACTGATTGTGGGTCACGCGACCAACTCACATCCAAGCGACATGTACAGGATCTTGAACGCCCAGCGGAGGAGAGGAAGATAACGGGCCGCAAAGAGAAATCCGATCACGCTGGCGAAGGAAACGGCGGTCGCACGAGGTTGTTCCCACTGTATAGACGGGTCGGTTAGAACGGTATCATGGTTGAGGAGCTCTGAAGACCCACGCTCAGAAGACTGTACAGCAAGGAGTGGTAGTCTAAGGCAGAATTAGCATCTGGCTACCCGATAGGACCGATCTCATGACATACGGGTCAGCGGTTGACCATCCGCGGTGGTGGTGGAAGGGGTCACCCGCGAGTTTTTCAAATCGCGTAGTTCCCCACCGGTGCGGGATGCCTCGGACTTGAGGTTATCGACAACAGGGCCTATTGAAGAACCGGTTAGACGAATTTGCTAGGGTTGTAACTCTCCAGTGTCCCGGTGTCGCTGTTTACCCTTGGTAACCACATCGCTGATGCCTGAACCCAGAGGTCGAGGTCAGTCTGCGCCACGGTCACCGAGTATGGAAAGAAGAGGAGCGCAATACTGCGGTTCTCGTTAGCATCTGTGAGATTGACGTGATTTCGCATCCGGCGCTTCCAGGATTGCGTACCTTACTGCCCGTGTTGGGGTAGTTCACGTCACCAGAAGCCATGACGAATATGAGAAATGCAGAGGATTGCAGTAAATAGATTCGTAGCAGGCGTGTCAAGTGTTGAAGCAAGTGTTGCGAGGAAAAGGGGGGAAGAGATAAGAGACTTGTTTTGATGCTGTCATGTGCGTTGCCAAGGCCGAGAGAGGGTCAGAGCTATGATGTCGACGAACCTGTTCTTATGAGTCTGCAGATCAGGGCTATTTCATTATTATTACCTATGCAGATGGCAATAGAAGCAAAATAATCATTATTTGTCCATAAAATAATTATCCGGTATATGTGCCTACGTGTCGTATGATGCCGAGTAGCTTACTACGAGCTATCTAGTAACCATGGCTAATATCTACATATGGCGTGCTTGGAAAAGAGAGCTAGAGAGAAATTCCATCACCCTACATAGTTTATATAGCTTAAGAGATGTCTGAGCTTATATATAGGCTTCCGGGAAGTATCTTAGTGGTTATTGCTCCTTGCTCCACTGCTTAAGATCACTTATAAGCTGTTTGGTTGGCCCCCGGAGCTTCAGCCTCGCCCAAATTTGGACTCTCTACATGCGGGGTGTTCTGCTTTCTCTAGAGCAACAGACTCAATTAAATCTCCAGTTAATTTCAGTACAATTATAAGACTCAAGAGAAAGTCTTCTCAATCCCAAGGTCTCCGTGTATGATGGTCACGAGGGGACTTGGTATGATTCTTTTGCTTCCGATGATAAGTCTGGCGAGGAAGATAGCTTTGATGAGGACAGTTCTGAGACTAATAGTTGAAGCTCCATCATATGAGCAGTCGGGAAACATAACTAAATGACTGTTGAGGCAATTAGCAGGATATAAGAGATCGAAGTATAAGATAGTTGGTGCCTTGGCGCCTTCGCTTATGTGATCCACGCCTTGCTACTTTGGGACGTATGTTTTGATCTCAAGACCTCACTTCCATTCCAACACGGCGCGACCCACAACCCACCCCATTCTCGATGGTTGTGCGCTCACAACTCACTTACAACCTTCAACTACATTGAGACTCGGCACTTCACTTTTCCCCTGACACATAGCGACACGGCGTATTGTTTACATCATGGCCGCGGCAGGCGCGAGGGCGCAAAAGCCCGTGGGCTCGGCACCATGGATCGCCGCAGAGAAGGAGAACATGGCCGAACTCGTGGAACAAGAGATGGAAGAGGTGGAATATCCAGTCCGACATGAAATGGACTGGTTGAACGAACATATGACCGAGATCTTCTCCAAGGGTCAAGCGTGAGTGGCCGCACGCTGATTTGTGTTGGTGGGATGCTGATGACAGTCTAGAAACTTTGCGGATGTGTTTAAGACCCCCGGAAAGATGAGAGGCAAAACTCCTCGAACCGCACGGAAACGCGCTCCAGAAGAGTCTCGGGTGGTGAGTATCGCACCTGTTGACTTGAAACCGGGTCGCCCACTAATGCAGCCTCTACAGCCCTTGAGCGAGATCTTTTCATCTGCCCAGAAACAATTAGAGAACCAAGCAAGCCCCAGTCCCTTCATTCATCGTGTGGTATCCAAAACCACCGCGCCCACATCGGCTGTGCCCCGCACAAAGAACGCGACGGAACGGGTGTCGCAACCACAGTACCCAGATCTCAGCCAGAACCTCAACTCTTTCCCTAAATACAACACAGACTCGGGATATCATGGTATGCCAGATGATGACGAAATGGTATTGCCAGACGTGCAACCAGAATCACAGGCCTCTACTCAGCCCATGGAGACCGACGAGCCTATGGGCTCTGACACTCAGGAGGTTGATACGTCGCTTGCTCAGCAAAATACAGAAGACTCTTTCCACTCCGCGCAAGAGGATGTCCGCTCCAGAGGGCAGACCGTCGAGCCGCCCAACGACCCAACACCAACTCAGAAGCGAACAACGCGCCCGGTCGAACCGCGTCTGAAGGAATCTAGTGCAGAAATCACATCAACTCCGACTAAAACCACCAAATCACAGACCACAGTGCAGATTGCGGACAAGCAAGAGAGACAGTCTCAAGAGAAGGAACCAGAACCAAAGCAAGTCGATGAGCCGGTCTCAAAACCGTCGTCTTCACCGGAGAAGGCTCCAGCGGCTAAGACAATCAAACCCGAAGAATCTCAAAAATTGGATGAAGCAATGGAGGATACTACAAAGGAAGACACAGTTCTTGATAATCTTGATGATATCGGTTCTCCCTCGGATGGTTCTACTCCTGAGAGGCCCCTTGTGCGAAAGAGTAGCCTGAGCTTCGCCTCGCTCCCTGCGCGGGAACCGCTATCAAAGTCCTTGGGAGGCTCGCGTCTCTCTCGGACAAGCCATGTTGACCCAGCAAAGATGAACACTGCCGGACGTCCTAGCTACTTTGGCCGACAGACTGGTGGTCACAGGGTGACCCAAACTGCTGCAGATAACAATACCGATTCCGGGGCTTTGGACAATGACAACGACAAACAATCAAGTGATGGTCCGGATCCTGAACAAGCTACCAGGATGCACAGCAAAAAGTCCACTCAGACCCTACATGAGAGGATCAGCATGCTGGGCAAACTCCAGCCAGCCCGGCCACGGAAATCAATTCCATCCGCTTCTACAGCGGCAACTGGGCAAGTGCCCTATCCCGAACTTCCAGCCTCCAAGTCTGAAGCAAAGCCCGAAGCCTCTAGCCAGAAGACCGAGGCACCAGCCCCAGAGTCTCAGTCGAATGATGATGAGTGGATCAAGCCATTGAGTTCTCCCCAACGGCTGGAGCTTTCTAAGAGCAAGACCATGGACATCATGGAAAAGCTCTCCGATCTCGATAAAGATCGTACAGCGAGTAAAAAGGAACAATCCACAACAGAGCCAGAAAGACCCAAATCATCTACCTCGTTATTCTCATCTCCACGACCTGTTGGCCACCAACCAAGCGCTTCTCTGTCTCATATTTCTGCTGATATGTCTACCACTCCGACGGGCTCTCCCAGACGCTATGACGGCCCCATCAGTGCTTCGAAACTGAGACTGCAGTCGATCATGAAATCCGCGAAAGGCCTATTTTCGAGCACTGGAAACACACCCAGAATGGAAAGCTCGTCGCCTGAGCAGCATCGTGTCAAGCGAACTGCTGAGATTGCAGATGGTAACGACCGAACTGCATCTCAGCCAATCAAGATTACCAGTCCTCCTCGTCAGGAAGGTCGCCGAACGCGAAGCTCTACCGAGAAAGAAGAGAAGCGTCGACAGCATGAGCGTGAGGAACGGGAGGAACAGGAACGGGAAGAACAACAGCGGGAGGAACAACAGCGGGAAGAGGCCCGTCTCGAGAAGTCTCGGGAGCAAGAAAAGCTAAGAGCCCTACGACTCAAAGCCGCTCAAGACAAATCCTCGATGGAGCCAGAAGAGAAGGCCGCACCAAAGACTTCTCAATCGCAGCGACAGCAATCTCGGGAACCTGAATCATCTCAGGATACCGGCTCCAAATTCGGAATCCCTCAGCCCAAGCAAAATGATCGACGTCCTCTCAAGCCGACTCGTGAGGCTGTTCAAAAGCCCAAGCCGCCACAGCCTATGTCAATTCGGGTTGGCAGCACACTCTCCCGTCAGATTCCCATGGCGTCTTCAAGCGTTCGAGACTCTACTGTGTCGACAGCTGCCCCCACCTCTGCCGCAAAGCCCACCCTTAAGAAGAAGGGTAGTAACAATTCCCTACATACAGCTTCTTCCACAAGCAGCTTTAAGAGCACTGGTTCCAGTCAAACTCAGGCCCAGCGTAAGGCTCAGCTTGCTAGTGAGCGCAGGAAGGAACAAGAGGACCGCCGAAAGGAGGAACAAAAACGTGAGATGGATCGCAAGCGAGCTCAGCAGCAGCAAGAAGAGGCTCGCCGACAGGATATGCGCAGCCGTGCTGAAACCGAACGAGAGCGCCGCGAGCCCTCGGCCCAGGAGGATCCGGAGAAAGCCGCCCGTATGCAGGCCATTAGAAATCGACAAATGGAAAACGCTCGGAAGCACGAAAGGCATGGCAGCCAGCAGACGAAAGAGGTAAGCATATTTGTTTGTGTCATCTCTTCATGTCACTAATGGTCTCCAGGCTCCGGTTCTCCAACACGAGAAGCCATCTTCTCAATCTTCTCAGCGCGGTGACTTGGGTGCTTCTCGACCTCCCTCTCGCTTGGGTTCTATGCAACCGTATAGCAGCCGTATCAACCCACCCGCCCCTAACCCTGCCAAACCTCTGAAGAGAGGCATGGACGAAGAGGCCAATCACAGACCTGCAGTCTCCAAGCCTGCCAACGTGCACTCGACCAGCGAATCCAAGCGCAGAAAGACAGAGGATGAGCATAATCCTATTCAACCAGTGCGAGCACCCATGCCGCCCCCTGTTCGTACCTCAAGTATCAGAAAGGTGAGATAACCGGTTCCAAATGCTTTACAAACATGTTACTAACTCTCCTTCTCCAAAGCCCTCCATCTTTGGACATTCACAGTCATCTATGTCACACCAGTCCGGTTCTTCCTTCAATAATGCTCAACCCCAGCGACCTGCACACCCCATGGGCTTGGCCAAGTACACAAGTGGGAAGATTCCATTTGCCGAACCTAATCATGCGCCGCCACCCGCGCCCAAAACCGCCCCTGGATCTGCCCCTCGTGCACAAGCCAAGCCGTCTCCCAAGTACCCCAGTGGTGAGAGCATCCATTTACCAGAGATTGCCACCGACAGCGAGGACGAAGACGACTCTGACTCTGAGATGTTCCCCGTGCCTGATTGGGCTCAACCCAAGCATCTGGAGGGACTTCTTCGCCAACAAGATGGTATGGAAGTTGATTCGATCTTTGGACCGATTGCACCATTCTCCATGGAGGACAACTTCAAGGGCGACAAGAAAATCAAGAAATATCGCGAGCGTACCAGCAGTGCAAACTGGTCCGGCCCTGATGGACTTACCCAGGAGGAAATCCGGAAGGATCTTGCCGAGCGACAGCGTCTGCGGCTCAACGGCGGCTGGCGTTTCAACAGCAGCACCTAGAATTCGGCGCGGCACAACAACCCTTTCTTTCTTGGATTGTAGATTGGCCTGTACGATTGAACAGTGGCGGCCTTCTTTGGTGTTGGTTTGACAATGGACTTGGCTATGGCTATGTCGGTGTTTGGTGTCTTATTATCTACTTGGCGTTATCTTGTACGTTTGTACTTTTTAAGTCTATCACACAATATGGTCTTAGACAACAGCTATACACGGAGCATCCATTGGTGCATGGGTTAATGAATTGTTATTTGGCCTATTTTTGGTGTACGTGGATAATAAAATCCTGGGACAGGGTGGTTAGTCGTGTATTGAGGCAAATGGGTAGGTGAAGCCAGATTTAGGCACATACGGTAATTCCGTTCATGTAGCACTTTAGTGGTCCCTATTTACATCAACAAGCATCATTGGTCTAGTGGTAGAATTCGTCGTTGCCATCGACGAGGCCCGTGTTCGATTCACGGATGATGCACAATTTTTTTGGCATTTCTTTTTGCTCCTTTTTGTTTTGTTCCCTTGATGTACGCTTTTTTTATTTCAATTCAAGTAAATCTTGCTTCGTTGTAATTTTGCGGTTTGTCGCGTTTGGCTGTTTATTTTCAGTGCAAATTACGAATGTTGTTAATGTAGTGGTGATAGGTACGACCTGGTGGATATATACTCTTGACCTACTTATACTTCCCTAAATGAACATTTCAAAAGAACATAGTCAATGTGAAAAATAAAGTCGAATCCAGTCAATGGACCTATCGAAGAAAATACCGTGCCAATAATATTGATCGCACGAAAACAAGGAGCTGCCTAGGTGCTCATTCGCTACTTAGACCTTTATGACCAATGTACGTCAGTATAAAGAACCATCCACTGCCATTAATTCAGATGAATTTTTGCTATTCAGAACTCTCCTCGCGTAATAAATAGACGGACTTCCCTTGTTCTTCGCTTTCTTGCATTTCCTCGATCAACTTACTGTTCATTTCATCCATCTAGATCCCACCCTGCACATCAACACCAAGCTGCCAGAATGCCTGTAAGTTGAATCAAACTAGAAAATTAAATAAACGAGCTAAATCATACAGACTGTTTTCGTGCGTGGGCCACTACTCGATAAATCCACCGAATCCCCCAGACTAACCATCCACACCACTAGCGAATTACCATCGTGGTAAAGGAACTCGAGCCAGCCCTTGGCTCTGTAGGAAATACGTAAGCCTTCTTCTACTTCAAAGCATCCCCAAAAGACCCAGTACATACACTAACCAACAACAAAATAGCAAAAGCATCTGCATCGATGCTATAACAACAGCCCTAACCAACGCAGAAGAAGTTCTAATCGACGCCATGCACATCCCCGCCCCAGACCGCTGGCCACCACATTTCATGTCGATACTGTATGTCTATCAGATATACTTAAGCCTCTCATTCCTGATTATCTCAAGAAACTACGCCATGGGGCTAACTTGGACTTTATTATAGTGCGGTGACTACCGAGATCGCCGAAAACCTTTTCCAGCCTTGTCTGGAGAATGCTTGGGGTGAGCTCCAGGGCATGCATCCTGACGTGCATATCCCTGACTATTCAGTCATTCGGGTTGAGGGTCAGAATTAGGGGGTATTTAATGGTTATCCGTGTGAGAGTTAGGGGGTTTCCGTGGGCAGTGGCTAGACTACTGTAATAGGGTTAACATAATCCAGAGATACGTAGCTCCTCTATTTAATTAATTGCCTACGGAGAGAGTTTGCAGTAGACCTCAGTGTCACCCCTTTTCAGCAGTATACACCAAGGGCTAACACACCAAATACCGAATAGCCAAAGCCACTACAACTACAACACAGGCGCCAAAAACGATATTCAGCTCAAGCACGAGGAGAGGGCACATATGCAAGATTGTGATTTTGTACTCGGCCGCTCCATGCAGAACACGCCATGAGATAAGTAATTAAAAACGGCAACAAACAACAATGAAGTACCCATATCCGAGCCAATCCCGACAGCGCCTGCGACGTGATATTATACAAGATTCCACTGCCCCAAACAACAACTCTTCACACTCATTCCATATCCGGCTCGATATCACTGCCTCCTCCCTCAACGCCCTCGTCCATGGCTTCGGGGTTCAGGTTGGCTGCATCGGGAGCAACACCGATTTGGGTCTCGTAGGAGACGGTGCGCCAGCCGGCTGGGACGGTGGGGTCCTTGATATATTCGGACATTGGGAACTAGCGATATGTTAGAATAAAATCTGTCCTTTTCCTCTACATGCAGAGCAAGGGAGTAGAAGTGGAACTTACGTAGTGGTCGTTCTTCTTCATGGTGACCACCCATGGAACGTTGTCAAAGGTGACGGCGCGAATGCGGAAGTACTCGTTATCGGGGATCTTGCGCACCTCCCGAATGAAGCTGTCTAAGTCGGGGGTGGAGACACTGTTGACAGCAGTGAGGAAGTTGGTGGGAGCAAGACCGTAGTGGTAAGCGGGGGGAACCGCGGCTCTGAGAAAGGGTTAGTGTATCACAAGGGAGAAGAAAAAGGGTGTCAAAACATACCCTTGCGCTCACGTAGATCTCACTGTGAACCTTGGAGATCTGCTGGCGAACAGCGTGATGCGGCTTTTGCAGGACAGCACCACAGAAGACAAGAGCGCGGTCCGTTTCGATGTCCTCAGTGTGAACCGTCGGGACGCGTATGCTGACTTCCTCGCCGTTACGAACAACCACTGCGTCTAGGACATCCTTCTCATACATGACATCCAGCTCGGAGACACGAGTGATAAGCTGACCGTCCAAAGTGAGGATGATATCAGCCTCCTGGAAACTAGTGGTAGGGTCGGGTGTGACAGCTGCAGGCGGGCTGTCAACCTTGCGCACCATGAAGAGCTGGTGGCGCGAGGGGTTGGCCTCGGTGACCTTGTTAATCCAGTCCTGGGAGACACCCATGATACGAGCCTGGCTCATCTGCACGACGTAGCTTTCCATGTTCAAGATGCGCAGCTTGGGGGTCACTCCTTGCTGGATCTTTTCAGTCACGGGCAGCAGGTATGGCGTGGCAAGTCCGAGGTGGTATTCGATATCCTTGTGGGAGCTGGCAGAGCGCTCGCCAAGGTAGTTCAGCCAAAGGGCTTGTACCACGCCGTCTTCACCGACCAACACACCATTTGAACATTGCGCGCTGAGTCCGGTATCCACAGTGACGGCATCCAGGTTGATGGCGCGGTAACGAGGAGCCGCGGCATTTGCGGGGATCGAGACAGTTGTGATGTCAGTGACAGTGGTCTTTGCCACAACGATGCGGTAGTTTTGGTTGAAGCCAACGAAGATAGTATCTTGGCCTTGCTTGATATAGTTAGTACTGAGCTGGGCGCTCTTGACTGGAGCCTTTACGAGGCTAGGATCATATTGAATGATGGTATAGTTCTGAAGCGGATGGAGGAAGACCACCTTGGCACTGACGATGATCGAGTCGGCCACGGTGATGTTGATGTCACAAAGGTCATAGGGCACGATAGCTCGAGACACGACTACCAGACCCTTTTCAGCGTCAATAACCAGACCAAATCCAGTCTTCTTCGCCTGTGGGTATCCATCCAGCTTCAACGGCATGATACAGGACACGCGCACGAAGCTACGCACGATTTCAGCCGCAGCAGGCTGACTGATGCCATCCAGCTGGATGAAGTTCGCTTCCATGGGGACAGGGGGTTCAGCGGGAATAGGGTCGGCGATGTCAGAGAAATCCCAGATGCCAGAGTCGTCATTTCGGACGGCCAAGCGCATCTTCGGGTGCCAGTGACGGTCGACGTAAATGATGCTTGTTCCTTTTGTGTGAAGGTCACGAATGTGACGGTAAGAGATTACCACACGAGTTCGATCAGGAATGCCCTTCATGACTTCTACGAACTCGTTGAGATTACGAATTGGTCGCTTGTCAATGGAATCGATGATCCATCCAGCCACAGTGTTCTCCAATTTAAATGAGCCTGCCGATTCACAGACGTAGACTCCGCGAGTGGCAATCGCATAAAGGCGGGACTGCTGGTAAGACAGATCGTGGAATGTAGCGCCGGCAACAGTCACGAATCGGTCTGGAGTGATTTCGTGGAGATCGCCCACTTGACATTCGACCTCAACATCCTGACCTCCTCTCTGAACCAGCAGCTTGATCACCCCACCAACACTCGAGTCCAGGATATCGTCGAGACGGACAAACTGCGTGAGAAGCTCTCCATTGACCTTCAAAAGCACATCTCCTTCCAGAAGCTTACCATCGGCGGGACCTTCAGGCAAAATGATCTCAGCTGCCAGCATGTTTGTCTCAGCAGGCGCAGCCGCACGGACGGCAGCCTCCCACTCCGGAGTTAGACCGAGACGACGGCACTCGTCGAAAGGCCGCAAGACCCACTGGGTCTGGATGGTACCACGAGTGACAGGCTTGCCTCCCTGGATACACTCTAGTGCGCGAAGCGGGCGATCCAACGGCAAGAAATAGTCCGTTGCAGCTCCATCGGCTCGGCCACCCGCCTGCAGAGCGACTGCATGACCATCGATGTTGACGACTGGACTTCCAGAACTACCACCACTAGCTGCAGCTGCGGCCTGAATATAGTTCGTGTTGAAATCACAGTATCCCTCGCCATATTCGGGGGCATTTCGGTCCAATCGACTAATTACACCGGACAGAATGCTCAGCTTTTCTCCGGCATCGTTACCCACCACACGGATTTCCGTGCCAACTCGTGCTCCATCCGGTTGAAGCTTGAGCTCAGTGAGAGCCATGTACCGAATCTTCGCGGGATCGAACTGCAAAATACCGAAATCGTGAACGGGGTCCCGGTAGACAGGCTTGACATCGCACTATAATTGTCCAATCTTGTTAGTAGACGAACATTTATATTTGGATGAAACCCATAGCCGTATCGCCTTACCTCCTCGTGATTATCGAAGATACAGTATCCCCAGAAAGGACCGGCACCAACCACATGGCGATTGGTCAAGATGTACCCACGCTTTGCATCCACAACAAAGCCCGTAGCCTGGCTGGACATGGAGAGCTCCGTGTCGAACGAGCAAGTCTGACAGAAGTGAATCGAGACGGCACTCTTCACGACCTTCTCAATAGTAGCCTGCCACTCAGGCGAATCTGCCGGAGCAGGAGCTACAGCAGGTGAAGGCGCTCCGTCCAAATCCTCCTCGACATTGTACACAGTTCCGTTGGCGGGTGTTGCGTCGCCGGGAGTCAAGATGGCACCCTCAGGTCGAAGCTGCTTGTTGGGACGCTCAGCAGCATTGGAGGCGGTGCTGCGCTTTCGCTTTGCACTCAAATCTCCATGAGCATCCATGGCGCAAGTAGCAGAGGTGTTGTGCAAACAAGGCCGGAGGTGGTTGGCAAGGGACGAAACTGTCCGGAAGGACCCTGGAGCTAGCAATCCGGAGACCGAAACGAAAAGCAATTGGAGACTTTGGCTATGCGGACGATGCGGGGATAAAAAGGAATGCGACGGCGCAGATGACCGATCGGCGGAGACAGTCTTAGAGCTCAAAGGAGTGATATGCTGAAGGGAGGGTAACTTAGGAAAAGCAGGTTTTGCGATTGACAAGCTCCTTCTGCACACAGCTAGCAGAGAACAAGACATCCACACTGAGATGAATGAAATGAAGCAAAAGAGGCTTTAGACGTCGAAGGCGGAGAGCAAAGGAAGCACGCTGATTGGCGGGAGGCACTCACGCGATGTGATCCCATGGCATCAACTTGCAGCTAAGGTGTAGTCGGACATTCCTACGATTTCCTATTGTTGCCTAGTTTTTGGATAATGTCATATTCAGTCTAATGTACAGTCTGCCTTTTTTGCCTTCCTTCCCTAGTGTCTATCTAGGTATCTTCCCGTTTGAAACGAGAATCCCATGTTCTGTAATCATAGAGATAAAATGTGCCCAAGATCTTCAGGTGATACGCCTGATATCTCCCAGCAGATGTCACGCATGGTGGGAGGCCCATGATTATGCTAGCATGCATGGTGGAGGGTGTTGGGCGGCGCCTCCCACACAAAGACTTGCGTTAGTGGCCCGAAACACGAGCGGATGATTCCCGATTGCCGCAGCGAACAAATCAGGAGCTTGATATAGATGTGGCGTATCTTCTCACGCGGAAGACTGCATACTCCACAGCTTGCTCAGACAACAGACTCGCCCAGAGCACCAGGGCTGGGCCCCCCATTACCCTGAGGGCTGAGGCGTTGTTGTGTCGAGGTTTTGCCAGGTCGAGAGAAAAGCTCGTTGAGCTTGGTGTACAGGTCATTTATACTCGGGAGATTGGGTGGCGGCGTCATGATGGCTGGCGCTTGGGGCGCAACACCACCCGGTTTCTTGGCTCGATCAGCGATGGTTGCGAGGTAGGCCAAGTTGGCTTGCAAGCGTCGCATGCATTCAATGTATTCAGGGCTCGGTTTCTGCCCGGCTTTTGATGGATCGACTGCCTGCTCTGTGGTGGGTGAATTTGGGTCTGGGTTGGAGGCTGCACCGGCCTTTCCAGCGGCTTGAAGATTGACCACTTCCTGCAGCAGGGCAGAGTTGATATCAAGAAGAGCAGTGACGCGGGCCTTTTCACGAGCGGCAAACTGTGCTTGAGCTTGAGCCTGGGCCTGAGCCTGGGCGGGGACAGCAGGAGAAGCACCACTTTGAGGAGAATTCATCTGTGAAGGAGGTTTGGGCTGGGTGCCGAGGAGGTTATTCGCCGAAATCGAGGCCATGTTTTGAGAAAAGGTTTGCGCTACTTGTGATGGCATATTTTGACCGGAAGTGCCTTGAGGGGGGACGAATTGGCCCATGGTGGTGGGAACAGGGGTCTGGTTGAAGGGTGCTGAGAAGTTCTCCATAGGTGCTGCAGATATATTAGAGTCAGTTTAGAAGGTTTCACGAGCAAAGGGTTTCCCTAAGGACCACCGCAGGCAAGTAACAATAAGTAACGCCCGACAATGCCAAGAAACACTGCTGTAGCGGCACCAAGGAGGGCAGGGATGGTGACACAGGAGTTCATGAGGGGGAGGGAAAAATAGCTCAATTCTATCTTGAGCCTCATGCAAGCGGCCCCCTTTTCTCGACTGGAGCAGGTGGAAGGTGACGGGTACCCAAACTGAACACGAAAAAAGGGAGGTGGGATGGGGGTGGGGAGGTTTGTCCACGAACCGGAGGATTGGGGAAAGCCTGAAGGCATCATAGCTCCAGGCTGCATGGGCATAGCAAAGGAGTGCTGCGGTGTCTTTGACTGATACGGAGCCGCGTTAGGGTAAAAGGGCGTCTGTTGCGGGCTCTGCGTCGGGACGGGATAGCCTGCCGGATAACCACTGGGGTCCATTGTGTGCCGGGAACTAAAGGGGTTGGCACCCGTCCTGTAATATCTCTTCCCGCGATCCCTCTGTTACTGTGCACGGACGAGACGAAGAATCCAGGGGGAAGTCGAGATCTAGAAAGCTCAATCTGTGGTGATTGGCCCAGACGAAAGAACCGGGATGCGCTGGAACACGATCGAGAGACTGATGGCCCGGAATCAGAGCGATCGGCTAATGGCTCATGCAGCGGAGTCTGTGGAGACACGGGCCCCCAACTGTAAGATGGGGAAGATGATCACGGAGGTGGACTTTGGATGTTTGAGATCGTATCTGATGATCTTGTTTAAGCAAACATCGACAAAGAGACATGAGGATCCCGGAAACAAAATCACGTGGCATACATGGGCCTCAGGCAGCAGTTGTGACTCAACTGTTGGCCTAAAAGTGATGCCTGAAATGGACATGTGACTCTGCCCTATAAGTTACTTCTCCAGGACTTACTGAATCAACACATTCTATATGTATTGTGTGTTTCATTCTTATTCCTTGTAAGTTAACTAGACCTCATTATAGGCCTGTATCTCCTCTTCACATCTCTATACCCGCAGGATTGCGATACTAGACCAGGTATGTTTCAGCTCTCTCTTACCGCTCTCTTGCCTATCACCCTGCAATGGCACGTACTTTTTAATTGCCACCAAAATATCCTGGTAAACGAGGGAGAGAGCTATGTGTCGTATACTCCGTATTCCGTACAAGAAATTCCTTGGCACCGATAGACTGTCTGATCGCGGCTCCACTGGAATCTCGCTCTCGCTCCCAAACCACGTTGGGCAATCCGGATGCACACAATTCCCACATGAGAGTGGGTGTTTTTCCGTGATCGGCACACCCCTACAGTAGACGTGATGTGTCAAGCAGTGGGAGTAACCGGCGGCTTGGCTTCCAAAAAGAATGAAGCGCTGGCCGATCCTGAACTTTGTCGATCAACAATCGGGGGCCCCGATGTACACTGTTCTGTCTGAAGGCATGTGATACCAGACATGTACAAGCTGCAGGGGAGTGAAATCGAGCTATTGCCGGGAGCCGGTTTGACGACTCAAAAGCATACGGGTCCACAGCGAATATGCAAGCTGCTTAAAGGGGACTGTGGGTCTTGTTCGAGCGTCATGCGGGCGCCACAGGCTCCATTGAAGCATCTCAATTCCAGGAAATGCAAGTTGGTGATCTCTGAACATAAACAGAAGTATGGGGCTGGAGTTTCCTGGTATGGCGGCGTTTCAGCTAGCCACAGTGGACCAAAATCGCCCTCACAACGCCTAGCGTACGGCTTGGCCTAACTGTAGCCTTTTAAGCGACCTGAGCCTCAGTTTCTGGATTGTATCAGACAATCTGATACAGTAGTTCTCGTAAACATGTAGTTTAATTAACGTTCTCTTCTACTGCCCACAACACCCTGACTCGAACACAACTTATGTGTGTTCCTAGCAACACTTCAGTGCTTGGGATTTTCGACAAACACCAAACACGGCTAAAAGGATATAAAAGAATACCAGCTGATGTTACACGTACATCGAGTTCCTCAACTGGAAAGCTTTCCACATGAGAAGTTGGTCCGACGTTGTATACATGTCCAAACTCAATCGAACGCCCAAAGACAATAAGCTTAAGCACTGATTGCAACTATTCCAAGCGTCGTATTTGGATAAATATATCTAACGTTTTTCATAACTAAAATTTGGTCATCGCGTGTGGCTTAGCTGGCCCACATCATTTCTGTCTTGCAGACTCCAACCTCGGTAAACCCCGGAGGTCTCAGACGTTTACAATGATACTACCAGGAGAACACCCACAATATCCCCTTTGGGAAAACTCGGTGAGAGGCTTATCATGCGTTATCCCGGATGGAATTGCAATACTAACAGCTCCACACGAGCCTCGTTTTCGATATTGATTAAATAATTTTAATCGAGGCCCAGGCACCTGGATCGACACTTGCTGTAACGTTTTAGTGGAACAATGCATATAGTGCGGTGGCAAATTGAACAGCCGCACAGTAATTGTGTTGACTTCTTCAGCTGGCCTCGGAAGTTGCGGGTAAAATACCATTTTTGACAGCAGATTTTCCTATCATCTAAATATACGCTTACTGTAGATAGAAGGTACTTCAAGTGACACTGAATCAACTCGACCCCAGGGAATGGAAGTGTATGACTTTTGCTTTGGTCGGACTTTGTATTTCACGCAGCCGTGTCCCAACACGGAGTTATGCATGTAGAGACCCATTAGCCTGATGCACTTGAGAGCATGTCAAACTTGGAAGATTGGCAAGCGAGGACTTTTGCGCAGGGATGACTGGGATACGGGGGCATCTATGCATGCATTGAATGCCCGTGTTCCTAGGCTGTCCCCGTCCATAGCCACTAGTTGTACAAATATTGTTAATGGATCTGCCTAAGCCCGACGTGGAAGGACACTTGAGTCATGGATTGACCTTTGATCAACCGGCCAATCTGAAGTCAATCTTGCTCTTCTCAACGTTAACAGACTGCGATAGATCATCTTGAGATACCTGGAGGCGGATGGAAGTTAGCCCGCTGTGTACTTTGGTCAGACCAAAGAAACTCTCCGTGAATTCTCCTCGAGTCGAGATCTTTGACGAGGACAATTCAATCATTATATTTATAGACGAGGTCATCAGGAATCGAAAAATTCCCTGCAAATCAAGGTGATATGCAAATCGCGATCTCCCGAACTCAACTGGAGAATTCTTCCTGATGGAATTGGCCCCCCTGATTACAGCGAGGCCATGTGGATAGATCCGAAGATAAATCCACTGTAACTGAGTTCGACCGAGTGTTAATGTACTTGATCTGCAAAGACGTTGCAGACCCCGAAGACCTCGGTAAAGTATACGAGATCCCGAGATCATCTATAGAAACGGCACTAGTATCGAATCTTTTGCTAAGTTCCCCTAGAATCCTATGACGCCCGATCCCTCACTTGGAAAGGCGCCTCTACACATGTCCTAGATCGTGTCATAAACCACTTAAGCCAACTGAATCAGTCTCACTAGGCTACGGAGCAAGCAAGGGGCTAGGAGACTGGGCGCCAAAACCATTGGGCTCAGGCAACCAGTGGGCCTGTACTCCGTACAAAGTTCCGTCGCAGACGTGTGCCGATCTCTCATTCCGATCTGGCCATCTGCCGTCAAAATAGCGCTCCTTTTGTCCGATTATGGGATTCTCTGTAACGGATTGCAACATATCCGGAACCGTTGAGCGTAAGATCGGCCAACACCTGTTACCGTGTTTCACTTGATCCGTAGAACCACTCACCATGGTCTGCAGCCATTTAAGTGCCAATATCGTTATGCTGAAATGGCCTTGCACCAGTCAGCCCTAGAGACCCAGACTCTCCAAGGGAAATATTGCAGTTAACAACCAAGGCGCCGGTACCTTTGGGTAGTTCTAATAATATTTAGATATCAAACTGGGTTGGCTTTGAGATGCAACTAGTCTTTAGCACGTCGTGTTCTGATCGTGAGAGTCGGAGGATTCCCGATCCCAGGGCCAATGACGAGGAGAAATATTGAATTCCAAATCTACTCAACATGTAAGTGCGCTCCCACCGGACCCTCATGTTTCGATACTGTATCTACACCGAAATTTGTAGATCCGTACTTTGTGTGTACCCACCGGCCTTTTATCGCCCCTGCCTGGAGCTGAGTCTCCTCCACAGTCTGGTGCGCTACAGGTATACGCCACAGCTGACAAGTCACTAGTAGTGGCTGTGTATAATAAATCACTATCCTCATGCCCGTCAACTTGGCACTCTGATTAACGGTGAGTGGGTGAGGTTGCTTTTGGGCGTCTAGTACAGCATGGTTCTCGCTCTTCCTCATACATATTTTATGCCTGTAGGAAATCCTTTGCGTTCTACCCCGCCATGCAGCTGAATCTAATCCTCCCAGATAAATAGCCAAACAGGGTGGAAATTCCGGGAACAGCCATTGAGCGCAAACTCTTGGGTACTGTGCTCCCAATCTGTGATTTATCTGATAGAGCTGACCCTGTCCAGACCCCAGAAGCAATGTCGAGACAACCACAGGAAGAGCTGGGGTACCCTCATTTTGCTCTGATCTATGTTGACCGAAATGGCAATCTTTGTCAAAAATCATCCGAGTCAATCGCTGAGCGCCGCGAGAGAATCTTCACACCCAGAGTGAGAGATGAATTCCTAAGGGCAGTGGCAATTTCGAGAGAGTCGCAAACAGCCCCGAGTCAACGTGAGTCCGTTCTCTCCCTGCACGAGGTGTTTGATTAACCCCCAACAGTGCCCCATGCAACATTGGCCAACCAGACCGAATATAACGGCCACAGCCCCCCATCACAGAGACAAATTGCCAACCATAATGAAATGAATATAAAGCAGAGTATGCAGCAAACCGGACCCAGCCCCCACATCCAACCGGCCCAGCCCGAAATGTGGTCCAACCCCGAGTCCTTGCCTCTCTGGCAAAGCTCACGGCCCAGGAAGAGAAATTTCGGAGGTCAAAATCTCAACTTGACCTCTCACCAGAAAGTGTCTATTTCTATAAAAGACCGAGATCTACTACGTCAGTACTATGAGAGGGTCTTCCAGAATCTGCAACAAACCAACTGCCGTGTTCTTGCAAAAGCCTACGTCAAACTAGTTGAGCCACGCAAGCAGGTCAACTACCCCTATAATGGACGGAAGATCATTGCAGGGAGAACCCAACAGCTCAGTCCAGAGGCAACAAAGCCTCCATGGTGGCCATCTGGGGTGAGCCACCGAGAGCCAGATCATCTCCCCAAAGTTGGTAAGATACTACTCATTCCGAACCCTCACCCAGGGCTAACAGTGTACAGAGCGCATTCGACTTTTAGTCCACATTCTGTGTGAGCTGCATGAAAGCCACGGAGTTACAACGACTAGACTGAAAGAATGTGACCAGCCTATTCGACGTCAGATTCTTCCGGTCGATCGTCTAGAAATCCTAGACGAGGCATACCAAGTTCGCGAGGCGGAAGAGAATTTCGAGAATGGAGTCACAAGTAAGCCAGTATGCACTTCACAGCTTCAAAGCACCAAAACTCACCCTCTACAGATGGAGAAGAACCCGTGTGGATTTCTCGTGCCAACCTCCCTGACAATACAGGAGACGCTTCCAGCGAACAAAGCTCACCGACCGAGCCAGACTATACTCAAACCACAACCAAGTCAGAGTGCAGTGACGAAGCACTAGCCATCGATACCTCACAACTTCTCATCCCATTCGATGATCTCCGAACGAACGCTTCCCCATACCCTCCCAACCCATATAACCCGCCAATGCACATGAGCCCCCACGCGCAATATATGCCAGTTGAGCAGCCTGCCCGTGGGTCGACATCACCACTTGAGTTGAAAAGGAAACGCGAAGAGTCTGTTGGGACAAACTTGGTTGATCGGACACGTCAAATGGGCCCTACACCATATCAGTACCCTGGAAACGTCAGTACCCAACCGTTTCCCATGGGTATTTACGAAGGTCCTCTTGCCATGTCTAGTGTAGGTGCTTCGATCACACCGTCTGTGCCAATATCACAGCCTGTTCCAATAACTCAGACGGCGGCGGGACCGTCTACGGAGCAGATGATGCTATATGGTTATCCATATTATTTTGATCAATGATGACCCTCGGATGAGTCCAGTACATATAATGTCTTTTGATGATAATGAATATCTTGTTGGCGTTCAAAGGAATACCCCTACTCGTTGAGGTCATTGTAACTGAACATGGGACGACCCAACTGGCTTCGTGAAGAGGATACAGACACTGACCCTTCAGAAGGGACAGGGAATAAGAACAAGTCTAAAATCAAGAGAGAAGAGGGAACAGAGTTTAGCCTGAAAAACAACGCCAAATATAAAAAGCCTCGGTTATACTCCCAAATGATAGTAAAAGAGCTAACCCTCACCCCATTTGCTGCACGGACATGCGTCTCATTGCAGGACTTCCCACCAGAGCCGGATGTAGACGTGGCTGCACAGCGAGCTGCCGAATTTGAGTCTAGAGAACGTGGTCTCTCAAAAAAATGGTATTTCTAGATCATAATATATGATTCTATCATACGCGTATGATGCCTAGTGTCCTAGCCCGGCGCCGCAGCATTCTTCTACCGTTCGGTACTGCGCCCTTACAGCGGGCATGGAATCTGGTGCTTGCATAAATCATTGTAAGAGGGCTAGGGTCCTTTTTCTTCTTTTCCTTTTGGATAAGGTAAGGCTATTCACACAGTTCATGTCTTCCCCTTACGAAGCAGTTGAAAGTGTTGAATTGAATGAGAAATCAATTTTCTCGATTGTATTTAGTATCAACCTATACAGTAGTCTCGAGATAGACAGAGATAGATACATAGGCCTGCCTGGTGAACCCTTTCAGCTTGGTATATCTACAAACACTGCGAGTACCATTCATTGGAGTAGGTGCAAGTATATCCACTGGCACAAGTAGTACCTCCAGTCCATCCCGAGCCACCACACTGCCCCCAGTGAGCAACACCAGTACTGCTACCTGAGCTAGCAGTAGTGGTAGTAGTAGCCTTAGTCGTAGTGGCGAGAGTAGTGGCAGTGGTAGTCGAAGAACTCGAGCCCCCAAGAGCATTCAAGATACCAGTATAAGCAGGCTTCTTAACCAAATTTTCATCCCAAGGACAGGCAGCACCCTGACCCGAAAAGGTGCTAGGCACCCAGGAGTACTTGTCAGTGTAATCCCAGATAGTAACACCAACACACTTGGCATTAGCCACACAAGCGGCAACAGTGTTCTGATAGTCAGTCGACTGCTGAGCAAGCAAGGCAGCAGTTGAAGGCAAGGTCATACGAATGTCAAGCTCGGTATATGCAGCCTCAACACCGAGAGCTGTGAATGCAGCCAAGTTGGTAGTCTGCGCGCTCTTGCTAGGGGTGCTTCCAACGATGAAGTGAGCCTGCAGACCGACACCATCAATTTTGGCACCGTATGACTGAACAAGCTTGACAATCTTCTGAGCGCCTGTTGACTTGGAACCAGGGGATTCGATGTTGTAGTCGTTGTAGTAGAGCTTGACGGATGGGTCGGCGGCGGCGGCGGCTGCGAACGCGATGGGGAGGTAGGCTTCGCCAATAGTTGTGTAGAATATACTGCTGCGGTAGCTGCCGTCCTCGTTGAGGGCTGTTCTTATGCATTAGTTATAGAATGATATGAAATGGTTCAGCTGGGCACTCACCTTCATTGACGACATCCCAGGCATAACACTTCCCCTTGAAATGAGTTACAACGTTGGTGATGTGATTCTTCATAGCCGCAATCAGTGTTGCGTTGGTCCAAGTGCCACTTGAGACTATTCATCTGTCAGATCATGTTCCAATATCATGAGATGTGAGGACAGCGAGACTTACCCCAGCTGGGCAGTTGACTATGCCAAACCAAGGTATGGCATCGGAGCTTCTGGCCATTGGTAGAAGCAAGGTCTGCAATGGCATCACCCTTGGTGAACGAGAAGGTGTTCTGCGTTGGCTCAGTCGCATCCCACTGTCAATTCAATTGTTAGCAGGTTCCAGCCAACCAAACGAGCGATATGCAAACCTTTTGAGAGTTGCCAGGGGTAATCTGACCAAAGTCGTCCCTGTTGCTCAACTGAGTCAAATATGCGCTATCGGTCAACTCGGGGTTGTCAGTCGCTGATCCGAAGTATAGCAGTCCTTTGGCAACGGCAGCAGTGTTCAAGCCAGCTGCTTGTGTTCTACCCAGATATCAGTGTTAGTATATAGCCTCGTTGAACTAATTGGTGATATTCATACAACTGAGGCAAAACACCAGTCAATGCCAGGGCAATAGCAGACAAATGAACCATAGTGACGAAGGAATCAAAGCTCGCCGATATTTAGACTCACCGCAAGCTTTAGTCTTTCAAAGAGAAAGAAACCGCCCAAGCTCCTTATATAGTTCAAAACAAAGCGTCATGTCAAATTGTCAGGGCTCTAGTTTGGATGTTTTCAGCATCTGCCCCGGCGCTAGGCAGCTTCACATTGGTCGCTACAGCCATTCGGGCCGAGAGCCCGTGGCGTAGTTGTCGCGGCCATCCAAACTAGTCGAAAGGGGTCATTTAGCTCGGATCATGCTTCGGGACTTGGGATAATATGATCTCATGCATGAAGGTAGGTAGTTAAGCCAGAGTGGTAGAGTAATAGCGACGGAGCGGAGCTCCACATATGCAGAACAGCCGGAGGGGACGCCGTATTTTCTTCACGGCAAAAGAGAAAATGGGGAACCCCTGAAGAGGCTTAATCCCAATCAGGTGAAGTTGAAGGATAGGGCTAAATGCACGGGTAAATGTGTCTTCCCTTCCTAAGAACTCAAACGTATCTGGGGTATCCTTTGTGTTTATTGCCGAGATTTAGCATGATATTTGTTTCGGGGTAAACTAGCACTATAATGCCAAGGCTAGACTACGTATCCCCTCACTTGATTGAGCCTATATTAGCGCCGATGAGATGAGCCTGCATAGGAACTCTCAAGTCTCGATTGTTGACGGCTACGATCAATACGAACCAAGGCTGGATAAGCCAACGTAGGATAGGAACAGTGGGGACATGCTTCCGGAGGGCGCTGCCTCTATAATTGAACCATATCTATGTATAGCCAAAGATGCAAATATGTACATGAACAGACATCTTGGAGGGTATCAGCTAATTTATCGTGGAACTGCTTGAGGTAAAGCCAAAACCAAACGGTAGGGGCGGCGAGGTGCCGCAGTTGAAGCAGACCAAGTTCAGTCCCTAGGCAGAAATCTTAACTTCTGCCAGAGCTATGATAGTGGTTCTGCATCTGGACTTCCACTGGAAGCCAGCGGCGATCAAGAGCTAGGCGACGGGAGACATATCATCTTGTATAATGAAGCGTCCAGTTCAGCCCGTCTTACGAGCTTTCATCTCTGCAATGAATTTGCCAGTCTTCGAGAGAGGCACAATGAAGATGCTGACAAGCTCATCCACAACCTCGACCTTGCCACCAGAAAGGATCTGCAACAAAGGCAACTTTTTGCCGGCCTTGATCAAACCACCAGAGACGGTTTGCATGAAGCATTCAACATTGTTGATATTGTATTCCTTCTTGGTATCCCAAGGCAGAGGGAAAATGTACTCCAGGTGATCCGTAATGGAGTTCATCTCAGAGAACGACTTGATAAAGTCAGATTGCGCCTCCATTGGGTACAAGAAAACAGCCGGGAACTCGACAGTGCTCTCCGGCGACAGAGGATCGGGAACGAGTCTGATCTTGGCATCTTCCATATCGGGGGGCTGTTCGGTCTTGCGGGTTCTGATTTGGCGGGCGCGCAGAGCGGTGCTTAGAACCATGTTCTGCTTGCGCAGCTTTTCTTCCTCTGCCTTCTTCCTGGCGGCAGCGCGCTCCACCGCGGCCTTGCGCTCGGCAATCTTCTGGGAGGCGGTCTTAAGAGACTTGTTTTCTGGGTCGATGGCCAGACCGCGGTTTGCGGCATCCTCAGCTTCGGCGATCTTGTCGAGCTTGAACAGGGCCATGGATGAGCGGTAGAAGGCTTTTACGTTCTTGGGGTTCACCTTGAGGGCGGCAGCACAGTCGAGGGTACAGGCGCGGTAGTTCCCTGAAGAAATTGAACATTAGCAAAGCTCGTCAACAATCGAAAGAAATTGTATATACCTAGCTCCAGGTTGCACAGGGCTCGGTTGATGTGCGATACCTCTTCCAGCTTGCGCAACAATGCCGCCTCAGCCTTAGGGTCCTCAGGCTTTTCCCACTTGTCGACCTTGGCATAGATTACAGCAATACTCTTGGTATAGAACTCCTTGGCATCGATCCATCGAAGCTCCGACACGGCTTCGTTACCTTGTCCCTTGAAGGTTTGCGCGACCTCAGCCTTGGTACCTTCGTTCTGCATAGCCTGCAGAGCGTCCAAAAGTACGTTTTCGCCATCTAAAATATCCAGCTGTCAGCTCAGTTCAACGACCATATTCAACTGCCAAAAAAGACATACTCTCGTCACCCGCATTCTCAATATCGGTCATGAATAGGGGAGTCTGGTTCATCATTTTGAAAAGCTCCTCCTTGGAATGCGATTGAACGGCTGCAATAGCCGGTGGTAGGTCAGGCGCATTGGGATCAGATTGACGCGCCTTTAGACCCTCCTCATTGATCGGGAAGGGAAGATCGTTGCCGGGTGCGAAGGCATCGAAGCCGGGTTGGGGAAGGCCCTGGTTTACCTCGGGAGGAACATCGTTGAGGTTGAGCGACTCGTCAAAGTCATCCGGAAGCTCTTCGATTCGCGACATCGTGAAGTGGTGCCACAAGCAAATTGGACTTTTGGAGATTGGAGATCTTCAAAAGCTTAGAAATGATATGATGCCCGCAGAGCAAACAGTGCAAACCGGAGGGGAGCCGTTGAGCCCTAGCCCTAACACCGAATTGGGCCCGGACTGTAGGTGTCACGTGTTAACACTAGCCCCTTTAGGCCAAATTTATGCCTGAGGTCAATATTAGATGTCACGATTTGTCCTGTATCCACCCAATTGGAGATGTAAATGACTCTGTATTTCCATTACCCCTATTTCTCACTATTTATGGGTCCATTCTAGTTACATAAGCTATGCCGACGGATCATCTATAGACCCGGTTTCATGCAGTATTCGTAAGGTAATCGCGACATTAGAGCCCCACTTGTATACAACATGATAGACCCCCCATGTTTAACTATAATGCGAGGCAATCAACAATTGGCAAAGGGGTGAGAAATGCGAGGCAAAAGTACGGCAAAAACAATTCATGAGATGTTCTACTCGCTTCTAGGCTTACAGCCTACCAGCACCCTAATAAGACAATATCAGTGCTGAACGGTGTTGTCAAGCCAACTGCCATCCCCCCTTCCCCTCGGTACTAAACAATTGACATCCAGCATGAACATTATTAACTAGAAATACATAGTCCAAACCGGACAGTCTTCCGCACTGCCAGGACATCGGCGAAAGCCCGACCAACCGCAACCCCGCACCAGTCGGATGAATGACCGAGCTCCGATATAGGCTGTTTGACGCCCGGGGTATCAAAGAAGAGGAATTATCAGATCCAACCCAACCAAAGCATACCCCAGGAACAACAGAAACACCAAAATAATGACCCAAACATTCAAAATCCTCATTCTACCCGGCGATGGTATCGGCCCAGAAGTAATGACCGAAGCCGTAAAGGTCCTCAAAGCCTTCGAAACACCGCAACGCAAGTTCGAACTACGCCAGGAACTGATAGGAGGCTGCAGCATAGATGCCCACGGCAAACCAGTAACAGACGATGTCAAGCAAGCAGCACTAAACTCAGACGCAGTCCTCTTTGCCGCAGTAGGCGGACCGAAATGGGACAATGCGCGACGTGGACTCGATGGTCCTGAAGGAGGTCTGCTGCAGCTACGGAAGGTGATGGATATCTATGCGAACCTGCGCCCGTGCTCATCTACTTCGCCGAGTTCCTCTATCGCTAGGGAGTTTAGTCCGTTTCGACAGGATGTGATAGAAGGGGTTGATTTTGTAGTTGTGCGTGAGAATTGTGGTGGAGCTTATTTTGGTCGTAAAGTTGAAGAGGAGACATACGGTGAGCTGAATTGATTGCTTTTTCACATGTATACGATCTTGCTGATGTTCTGGTGTAGCAATGGACGAATGGGGATACTCTGAAGCCGAGATCCAGCGTGTAACCCGTCTATCGGCCGAAGTGGCGCTGCGACACAATCCCCCCTGGCCAGTGATTTCTCTCGACAAGGCGAATGTTCTAGCCTCGTCGCGGCTCTGGCGCCGTGTAGTGGACAAGACGATGACAGCCGAGTACCCGCAAGTCAAGCTGGTGCACCAGCTTGCCGACTCGGCATCATTGATCCTGGCGACGAACCCGCGATCCCTGAATGGTATTATTCTGGCGGATAATACCTTTGGTGATATGATTTCCGACCAAGCTGGGTCGATTGTCGGCACGCTTGGTGTGTTGCCGAGTGCTAGTCTCAATGGTCTTCCTGGCGATAAGACGCTAAAGACGAGACCATATGGACTATATGAGCCTACACATGGGTCTGCTCCGACGTAAGTGTATATCAAAGGCGAGGCATATTGAGTGTGTTCTAATATTGTTTAGTATTGCCGGGCAAAACATCGCCAACCCCGTTGCGATGATCCTCTGTGTTGCGCTTATGTTCCGTTACTCGCTGAGCATGGAAGCAGAGGCTCAACATGTGGAAGACGCTGTGCGGAAAGTGTTAGATTCAGGACTGCGGACGCCTGATTTGGGTGGCAAGGCTGGGACTAACGAAGTGGGTGATGCGATTGTATCTGCACTGTAAGTACATGTGAAGATAAAAAAGGTCTTGACATGAGGTTTCAGCTTGAACAGAAATACGAAGGAATGTCTTTAGCAAATAGTCTCAAAGAGCTGGCATACTGGCTAGATCATTGGAAACAAAGAACGTATGTCTTAATGTGCTCGAACGAAGGTTGGGTATTGAGATGTTTGCCCCGTACTGCAGACCTCAGACAAACAATCATATCTGATTTCTTTGATAGAAAGAGTTAGATGAAAGGCAATGTTTGCTCGCTGAGAAGCGATGAAAGAACTGGAAATGTATCAAAATTTGGTACAGATATCATTAGAAAATCCTCCTTGGACATTTGAATCGTCGTTTCCCCTCTACATTTGACTATTACTTTCTCTCTCTGTCTCTTGGGAGTTAAGAGCCTGACAAACCCCGTTCCAAAGAGTCTGCGACAATACCTTGAGTGCCAAAAACCAAGTGCGTCTACGTCAAGCCCAGCCAGACTCACCTTCATACCCAGCTCTAAAGACTCGAAGCTCAACCCTCAATATGCCAACCAAAGAGGGAGAAACGCCTCCACCAACTCCCAACCCACAAAAACTAGAACAATCACCGACACCACCAGCCATCCAGCGAACAGCACCATTCATCCAACCGGCACCACCACCAATCCGCCCAACATCAACAGAGCAACCCACCTGGGCCGGATCCTGCACCCTCCGCCTCGAAAACCTCGAAGCCCAAACCTCTAAAACAAAAAAAGAGCTAATGCGCTCAATCGCCCAAGACATCTGCGCAACATTCACGTGCATAGCCAAGCACGCGGAAGCAGGTAACCTAGAAGACAAACACACAGATGTAATCGATAACGTGATCAAGATGATCCGCGATACAGACGTGAAATCACGACACCGGCTGGAGAAACGGGGCCGTCGCTTGCGGAAGGAGCGAGATTGGCTACGGATGAAACATCGCAAGATGGGTCGGGAGATTGATGAGTTCTCGTTGTTGTATCGCAAGAAAGTGCGGGATTTGATAGTTGCGTTGCGGGAGCAAAATCACGAGGTGGAGCAGTTACGGGCGGAGAGGGAGTTGTTGCTGACGAAGATACATGAGGATAGTGCTCTCGCTAGTGATGCTGTTGATAAGGAGACTGATGTTGATGGGGAGTTTGAGATTGATACGGAGAAGGTGTGAGTTCTTTGTTGCGGTGTGTTTCGTTTGACCGAGGTATTTGGATTGTTTTGTCTGGGGAATCCCCGGATTTCTTGATATCGGAATTGTATCAACAATCAGATTCTCTGCATATTGTATCAATCCAGTTAGTTCCAAATCTTGTAAGCAGTACCTCTGATCTGCGAGTTAGTACATGTAGATGATATCACAATGTGAATGTCCATCGGTATTCGAGTTCCGAGGTATCCAGCTCGCGGCATTTGATAGGCAAATGCCTGAACCCGGAGCGTGGATATAAAAGGCCCGGTCCCTGTGATTCATTCCGAGCCCGAGCGAGCACCGGTGGTCCGTATAGTATCTCTGAAGCGAATCCACCCGAAATCAGTAGAAAATCAGTGGTTGATTGACTGTTGCCATCGACCGAAGGGACCTCGGCTGCTTTGAAAAGACGCAAATTGATTCGGCCCGCTGGATCCACCGTCACTCCGCGCATGTGGACGAGTCCTGGAGAAGACCCTTTTCTCTCCCATTTTCCTGGACACTCTCCAGATTCTCTTAGCATTCTCTTTCTCTTGCGAAGAATCATTTGAGACAACTTCATCCTCGTGTTGTTCCCGATCCAAACTTTTCAAGAAGTCTACCCCGGACAGTGCTCTCGGCCGAGAATGACCACCCACGACTATGAGGCAGTCCGCAAGGATATCGCCGCCCAGTTAAAGAAGCCCGGTTATGATGATGGCAGTGCAGGACCCGTGTTCGTGCGGTTGGCATGGTATGTAAACACCAGGACAGTCTTGCTTTCCCCGGTCGGGATCCCGGAGCAACGGCCGAACCCACCCAGCGCAACGGCTAACCCGATCCTCCCAGGCACTCCTCCGGCACATACGATCTCGAGTCGGACACTGGCGGCTCAAACGGCGCGGGCATGCGATATGAAGCCGAAGGAGGCGACCCATCGAACGCAGGTCTGCAACACGGACGGGCATTCCTAGAGCCGATCAAAGAGAAGCACCCGTGGATCACCTACTCAGATCTGTGGACACTAGCTGGCGTCGTGGCAATCAAGGAGATGGGCGGACCAGATATCGAATGGCACGGTGGACGGACAGACCTGGTAGACGACTCAAAGGTACCACCACGAGGCCGGCTACCAGACGGCGCACAGGGTGCCGACCACCTGCGGTTCATCTTCTACCGCATGGGTTTCAACGACCAGGAGATCGTAGCGCTAGCCGGCGGACACAACTTGGGCCGATGCCACGGCGACCGCAGCGGATTCGAAGGACCGTGGGTGACGAACCCGACGCGGTTCTCGAATTCGTTCTTCAAGTTGCTGCTGCAGCTTGACTGGAAGCCTCGCAAGCTGGCGACCGGCATGACGCAGTTTGTGTATGAGGATCCTGATGCCGAGGAGGACGAGGAGCCGTTGATGATGCTGCCCACTGATATGGCACTGTCGACGGATCCGTCGTTTGCGCCTTGGGTGAAGAAGTATGCCGATGATAAGGACCTCTTCTTTGATCACTTTGCCAAGGCATTTGCGAAACTCGTTGAGCTTGGTATTCAGCGGGATGCTCAGGGTGTTGTTACCAACAGTGACAACCGTCTTGGTGGATATATTTCTGCTCCGAAGAAGAGCAACACTGCCACAGGCCCGCCTAGAGCGCGTCTGTAGATTCTTTTTGTTTTGGACGATTTCCCCACTGCGTTAGATCTGAATATAGCCTGGAAGTGTAAATAGATAATAGAAGTTTATAAAGATATCTGACTATGAATGTGCACGAAAGTCAATCATTCTAGAGTAGATAAAACAGATGGGACGAGGATGAAAGAGGTTGAAAGAAGAAAGAAGAGAAAGGAGAGTCCGGGGTATTGCGGGGGGAACTCGCACAGACGACCGAACAGTTAGGTAACATCGTAACATCGAAACATTTGCGGAGATATACAACTTCATGTGTGGATATGTTTAATAAGAGGCCTCTGATTGGCAGAGACCCCGGTTGACTAGTATACTCCCTGTTTTTGTTATTTTCAGTTCTTGTTACTTGTGAATATAGTGTTGGTAAGCATATAATATGAATCATATAAACAATTCTAACATAAATAATATGTAACACTTCGTCCAAACTCCGCCAAATGCACTACATCCTTGTATAATAAATAGTCTTAACATTAGCCTGCTCCTCAAGGCCTCTACTTTTTACCTCTCCTAGGAGGCTGAACCCTTTTCGGCTCTGAGTCCTCTTCAGAATCCTTCTTCGCCATTTTCTTCGCTTTCTTTGGAGGAGATTTTGCAGCCTTCTTGGGGCTAGCTTTCTTGGGGCTCTCAGTACCAAGTCTCTTAGCATAACGAGTTTGACGACGTGGCGTTAACTGCACCTCAAACTCCGCATCGGACACCTCCGGTGTGACCGCAGGAGCTTGTTTACGACGGGCTTGATGACCCTTTCTTGGATGCGGCGCCCGAGTTCCGCCATCCGACTCATCCACATCGACATCCATCATCATAACATCATTATCTGCATCTCTCGAAACGGCATCGTTCCTTGTCCGAAGCTGGGGGTTCTCAGCTAGCCCGGGGAAGTCCAAAGCGCCCTCCTCGGCAGGTTGACCATGAGGCCAAAGGGTCGACATCTCAGCAAACCAGTTCGGGTCCTGCTGTGCGAAGTCGAGTGCGCCATGATACATGTCGAACCCGTCCTCGCTCGGGGTCACGGTTGTGGGAGGAGAGAATAGCGCTGCATCTGGCACCGGCTCCCGATATGAGAGCCAGTTGAAGGCCGGGTAGCTTGAGGTAGGTGGTGGGGCGGTGCTGGCTAATAACGCTGGGTCAATTAATGTCCAGTCGATGACATTCGGATCAAGGAGTGCTGGGTTGAGAGCCGCCCGGTTAGCACTGCTAGGGGTCAAAGGAGCGCCAACAGGTGGAGACACAGATAAGACGGATGTCTGAATTGGTGGACTGAGGGCTTGTCCAGGAAGAAGTTGCTCGTCGTAGCCAGTGAACGGTGGGAAGGCAGTGAAGGGCTGGGCGAGACCGGGCAGGACGCGATTCCAGGGCTCCTTTTGGATTTGGGGAGAGGATGGAGCCCAAGGGTTGTGGTTCTGGAGAATTTCTTTATCCTGCGATCTCAAGAGGGTCATATCCTGTACGGTCTGGAGAGCTGCTGCCAGGACATCCTTCGCAGGGTTCATGATCCGTTCATAGAACACCAGTGGTATAGCACCACCGGTGCACCACTCAATGGGGACTCGATTATTTTTGTTATAGCATGGGATTCCACCCGCAAACAAGCCGTGATTCAGCTGGCTGTCGTACATGCAAATGTTTCCTGTGTCGTATTCACCACGCTTCGTATCTGTCCAGTAGACACGAGCATGCCCTTTGTAGATATAGACGCCACCAAGCCAACGGTACCTCGCTCTTTGGACGTTGTCGCCATAGTCAATATACTGGAAGTCAATATCTTTGGTGTGATCAAGAATCTTTGACCTTCCATCAAAGGTCATGGTCAAGCGTAGTGGAAGCTGACCGACCTTTCTCTCGCTCCGAATATTGACTCCACCACATGCTATACACTTACTTTCCTTCCTGGCATAGAAGCATCGCTCAAGCAACTGAGATACCCCGATCCCCTTTTCATCGCCCTTGATATAGGCCGGCATCACGCAGGAACCTTGGTGGGACATGACAAACGCTTTCGTACGTGTACATCTGCAGGGCACTATTCGCTCAGCGTAAAAAAATCGAAACTGAGCAAAGTTCTTAGTGCTTTCTGCCCAAACAGCCCATGGCGGAACAGGTTGTCCCATTTTCATGCTTGGATAAGTATCGCAGACCTTCTGGAAGAACATATCGCGTTGGACGCGAGAATTGTGTTCATCCAAGACATCCCAGGCCACGTTGATAGTTTCCACAAAAGCTTTCTCAATATCTTTGAAATCTGCCTGTCGGTTATTGTAACGGTCGATCCTGGTGCAGCCAGCATCAATCAAAATGCCCGCTGCAATGACGGCATCAATGGAACAGGAATTTCCACTCCAGATGGGACCGCGGCCACGCAGAGGATAAACGAGGCCATTTGCATCCCATTTAAAGGTCACAGGATCCAACCTTACGTTGGCTATATTATTGAAGGTCCCAAGCTGGGTGTTAAACAGATCGTTAAGCGAGCGAGCAGTCAATTGCGGAGTAGGCACGGTGCGAATTGGGGCACTGGGATCGCGCTCCAGGTCATTGTATGCAATATTCATAAGGGCCTTTTCAATGATCTCTGTGACATTTCTAGGATCATAGGCAGATGAAAGGGCCGTGTCAACTAGCTTGTTGATTTGCTGATAGCCAACAGGGGCTGTTGTGAAGAGTGGACTGTGGCTAGGGTCCGCATAGATTGGGTCATCGTATCTGCGGATGGGGGCAGCATAGATAGGATCAAAGCCACCGGGGCCTATAGGTTTCGGGCCCGTGTAAGCAGGAGCGCCGGGCGAAAGAACTCGTCGTCGCTTGTTTGGGCCTACGAGCGGCGCTAGGTTTCGTTTATCAAGTCCTGGAGACTGCTGTAAGCCCCAGTGCTCGAAGATCGGTGACGAGGATGGCTGTAAATACTCCTGAATCCTTTCGCCTACCTCTTGGTCCGATACTGGTCCGGGGCGTACCGTTATGAGCCGGGGTATTGATTGAGATGGCTCTACATAAGTGTCGGCTGAGAAGAGAAATTGCTGGAGATAACCATCTGATGTCTCGGGCTTCGCATCGGAAGGACGCTGGTACCCAGGAAGGATAGCTACATCGATCTCGGGAAGGGTCCGATACCATCGACTGACAGGCGTAGGGCGTGGTTCAAGATCGTATTTCATTAGTCGCGGCCCACTGTCCCGGTTGAAGTTAAACAATTCCATCCAGCTCTTTGGACGATGCTGCTCTTGCATGTAATAGAACAACTTCCACAACATCTTCTTGAGATCGATAATATTTCGCCTCTTTCTGGTGTAATGAGCAGTGACGAGCTGCTTCTCGTAATGAATTCCCCAAAAGTAATGTTTCATCACTACATCAATCTGTCCGACCCCGATCTCGCGCCCTTTCGACTGGCTCGACGTACTCAGAGTTCTCGTCAGAAACTTCCAATCTTCAGGTGGATCTTTAAGCGCCATCAAGTCATATAGTTCACTAGGCTCAGGTGGATGCTCAAGGTCGTCCGGGTGGCGCGGAAAAAGGAGATTAGGAGGCTCCGCCATGATGAACCAAGATGGTATATGTGAGATATGGCGTAGAAAACAGGAACAAGAGAATAGTGTCAGAACACTGAGATATCGAGAATTAATTCAAATTGTCGAAAAGAGCAATCGAAGGCCATTTCAAGCGGTGCGAGCTCGGCTTTTTAATGAACAACGAAAGTTCTCGTTGTCCAAAGACCAGGGTCAATGCCGTCCCCACTAGTAAGACGAGTAATGCATTGAACAAAGTAAGCGGGTGAAAGAACTCGAGCTCAATCTCGAATCCATGGTAGTATTCTGTTAATCAAAGAGCAGAGTTGGAGACAAAGGCTTCGTGCTCCAGATTCAGTAGGGCAGCAGCGGCATGATCCAAAGTGTTTCTATAATTGTCGAGGGGTTAGGTCTCGCGGCCGACCTAAGGAATATCAAAGAAGTCGTCGACTAAAAATATACCTCAGCATCCAATTCTTAAGGGCGAAGTTACGCCCATGTGAACAAAGGATATCGCATATTGACGGGAAAGTCACGCTCAAGTGACCGTCAGGGAGGTTGAGACGTGTGAGCGGAGACACCGTAGCCATTTTCCTAAGAGGACAAGTAGGGGTGAGCAGGTAGGCAGTAGCCATATTAGCCATGAGGAGGCCCTGAGATAAACAGATCGCACTTGAGCGTGGTCACAAAAGAGTCTCGAGTCGCAATGCCCCAAAAGATATGGCTCTGGATGTAGATGGAGACTCGATGGAACCAGCTCAAAGCATTCGAGTCAAAGAGTTGAAAGCTGCTGCTAATTCCCTTTTCGATTCAAAGAAATAGACTTATAGTGGCTGAAGACATCCAGGAACCAAAAGAAGTAAGTCCAGGAACAACAAAGATATCAGGGCTGGTGGTAAGATACATGTAAATCACAAGACCTATTACAGTAATATAACCAAATACAGACACAGGTCAGCTGACTTCACCTGATCTGTGCGCTAACCTATCCTGGACTAGTGGTTCACAAGCGAGCCCTCATCCCAAACAGGTTAGTGCGTTAATTACCCGATCCCACAAGCAAAGTCACTCAGTTGGACTTCCTCCTCTCCATCCCTCTGTCGACAACCCATCGCGATACTCGCCCATCGCCCACCATGTGTACGTGAACACCCCTTCTTTCAGTCTGAAAGCCCTCTATGATACAACACAACGATTGCGCAAAGAAAAAGCGATGGAAAAAGACGACGGTTCTGGAAATTGAAGGCTAACGTGCACTTCGATAACAGCGCTCGTGTCCGGCGAGAAGACGAACTTCCAGTTCATCTTGCGTCTGCTCAACACCAATGTTGACGGCAAGCAGAAGATCATGTACGCCCTGACCCAGATCAAGGGTGTCGGTCGCCGTTACTCCAACCTGGTCTGCAAGAAGGCCGATGTCGACCTCACCAAGCGGTACGTTCGAACCACCCACACACCCCCCATCGAAAGTTGAATCATTCCCATATGGAGGAAAGGCATGAAAGGAAAGGCATTGGAATATTGGACAAATCGACATGGAACGGGAATCACGCACAATCCCACAAGAACCAAACTGACAAGGATCCTATCTACAGTGCTGGTGAGCTCACCACCGAAGAGCTCGAGCGTATCGTCACCATTCTCCAGACCCCGACCCAGTACAAGATCCCCTCGTGGTTCCTTAACAGACAGCGCGACATCACCGACGGCAAGGACACCCAGGTTGTTTCCAACTCCCTGGACAGCAAGACCCGTGAGGATCTCGAGCGCCTGAAGAAGATCCGCTCCCACCGTGGTCTCCGTCACTACTGGGGCCTCCGTGTCCGTGGTCAACACACCAAGACCACTGGCCGCCGCGGTCGCACCGTCGGTGTCAGCAAGAAGAAGGGCTAAACAATTTGTGTCGTTTTTTTGCCGGGGGTTCTTGGAGGGATTCCGTTATTTCCGGTGTGTTTCTATGGGCATCCGTGGGACCTTTTTCCCCGCTGGGCTGGGTATCGACCCTGGTTCAAAAAATTGAAAATGAATCATACCAATGAAATGAACCGATCTCTTCTTACAAGTAATGCACGCTTGGCTTTGGGATTGTCGACAACTCGATCCTGTCTGGTCCTCTGCCTTGTAGAGTAGCCATCTAGACTGCTATGTCTGTGGGGTAGCCCTCCACTGCGGGCCATATTGATGTCTCCATCACATCGTGTTTGCTCCTAGTAAACCCCACCCACCTCCTTAGTATACACGGCCGAGACCTGAACCATGTTGGGCTGTGTTTGTCAAGAGAGGAAGATTGACGTTCTTTGAACACGCTGGGACTCTCATCCTTTGTGAACCTCCTATCTCTTCATAGTCTTGTCGTGCTACGACTTGACAGAGGGTTTGGAGTGACATCTCTTAGTTACGTTCTCTGCACCTTACATACCTTACTTGCTATCTTTTGGTCTATGTTATTCAAGTCTATCAAAATTGATTGGATTCAAAGTTGCCCTGACGTATATACTAAACAGCAAGCCACCGAATCAGGAAGCAAATGATCAAATCGGTTCGCAACCTTAGATCAGGTGTCAAATTGCATGTATGCAAACAAACAGTAATATCAATAGCATTCGGTGTAACGATAAATCATCGACGCCTTGTAAAAGCAATTAGGTCGAGCATCTAGTACCACTCACCACCAATCCAGCGGTTGAAGAACTCCAGACCAGCCTCGGGCTGATCCATGGGAACCATGTGGCCAGCACCAAAGATACGGGTGAAGGTAAAGTTGCCGTGGGTCTTGATCTGGCCGATCTTCTTGCCAACGTGCTCGTTCTGCACGATCTTGAGATCCTCAAGCTCAGCAGCAGCGAACTCCTTCTGGCCGGGCCACTCAAGAGCCTCGGACCAGGCCTTGTTGCCGAGCCAGTTGCAGATGAAGTCGGCATCACCGGCATAAATTAGAACGGGGATCTGCTCAAGAATTCCGGGGACGAGGCGGTGGTAAGGCTTGAACCAGTCACCGGCGAAGAGGAAGTTACGGTTAATGTCGAAGTTGCACGAGTCGTAGCCGTCAACCTCAGCACCAACAGCGTCGCGGACGCTCTGCTGACCGAGGTACTCGCTGACGTAGCCCATGCCCTTGTAGCAGAGGTTGCTCTCATCCTCGCACTTGCCGCGAATGTCATAGACGTTCTGACCGGTGCGCTGGTAAGGTCCGAGCATGGCGTTGTTACAGTAGATGGAGGCAGGAACGCAAATCCAGGGGCTCTCGCTGTTGTAGCAAGACTCAATCATGCTCTGGCAGCGGCCCAGAGAGTTGTCCATGGACTGGCAGGTGCTCTCGTCGAGAACAGCGGGGTAACCACCCTCGCCACAAGCCATGGGACGGTAGTACTCGTACTGGGTCAGGCCATCGGTGAGACCGTTGCCAATGAGAACAGACTTGAGGTTGATGTTGCGCTTCTTGTGAGCGAGAATCTCGGAAGCCATGACGGGGATGTAGTGACCAGCGTAGGACTCGCCAGCAATGTGGAAGTCCTGCTTAGCGTACTCGGGGAACTGCTTGAAGAACAGGGTCAAGAGAGCGTAGACGTCCTTGCCAGCAGCAACGGTGTCGCTGACGGAGGAGCCACTATAAGAGTAGCCGACGTTGATGGGCTGGTCGAGGAAGATAACAGAGGCATTGTTGTTCCACGAGAAGTCATTGTAGATAGGCTTGATGTTCTCGCCAATGGAGCTGGGTCCAAGTTCCAAGAACAGTCCGGTGAGGGACGAGCAACCGGGACCGCCGTTCAGCCAGAGGACGACCGGGTCATTTGCGGGGTCGTTGCGAGACTCAAAGAACCCTTTTAGAGGTTAGACAGTTGCGGACACTAAGAAGGCATTGTCAAACTTACAGTAGAACAGGTGCTTGTCCTCCTCGTTGTCATCCAGATAACCACTGTACTGCTTGACGCCAGGGTCAATGCCGAGAGCACTAGGGTCAACCTTCTTAACGCGGAGGTCATAGGCCTCTAGTCTGCCATCAATCTCACGCTCCTTGGTGCCATCGGTACCAGATACCCAGAGGTCCTGAACGTCGGCGCCACTGACGTGATGATCCCAGTGGGAAGCAGGACGGCGGGTGTGCTTCTTAGGCAAGGACAGAATGGGAGCGCCGTTCATGGACTCCGGGAAGAAGTTAGAGACTTCCTCCCACATCTTGCGAGCCTCGCCAGAGAGAGTCTTGAACTGTTCCTGGAGGTGCTCAAGGGGCTTGGAGACTACATTGGCACCCTGCTGGGCAACGTTCTCCGCATACTCCTTGTGAGCTCCAAGGACTTGCTGCAGGCCTGGGGCAGCCGCAGAAGCGGCTCCCACCAGAAGAGTGGTGGACAGGATTCTCATTGCAAACTGTGTCTATGATTCACAGAAGAATGATGGTAATGATGGGTGGGCTAATGGAAAGCGGGTACCTCGGGGTCTGGGGTCAGGCAGATCTTATCAGTAACCGCTCGTATGTGTAGCTCTAAGAGATGGCGAGAAAGAAAGGAACACCACTCACACTTAGGGACACACTGAGGATGATTGAGACGAGACTTAGGGATACAAGACAGGGCCCTGCAGTGAGGAGAAGAAGAGCAGGGAATCCCCGATGACGCCAGGAGATAAGCAGGTCCCTGGACTGACTCAGCCAGTCACGGGAGGGGTAGCGGGCTAAGCCTTTTTCGGAAAATTCTTTCGATCGTCAGCTTGTACACATTCCACGTCCTGGAAACAGCGTATTTTTTGCGCATCTTCAAGTTCTTCGTTCGTATTTGGAATAGCCCACCCTACGCGGCTAAACGTCCCTCAAAATGCCTATCAACCAACCCTCCAACCAGATTAAATTCACCAACGTTTCGGTGGTGCGCCTAAAAAAGGGTAGGTTCGATGAACCACATCGCTTGATCCAGCTAACCCTTCTCTCAATATAGGCAAGAAGCGCTTCGAACTCGCCTGCTACAAGAACAAACTGCTTGAATACCGATCAGGTGCTGAAAAAGACCTCGATAATGTCCTCCAAGTCCCCACCGTCTTCCTCTCCGTCTCCAAAGCACAAACTGCCCCGTCAGCAGAACTAGCAAAGTCCTTTGGAGCAGGCACACCTCGGGAGGAAATCCTCCAAGAAATCCTCCGCAAGGGTGAAGTGCAAGTCGGCGAGCGCGAACGCAAAGATATTCTCGAACGAGTAGAGAAAGAAGTCCTGGACATCGTCTCAGGTCGCCTAGTCGACCCCATTACAAAGCGCGTGTACACACCAGGCATGATCCACAAGGCGTTGGACCAACTAAGCTCAGCTAGCGGTCAGCAAGGACAACAAGCCGGAGAAGCGAACGGGAACAGCGAGGAGAAGGCAGCTCAGCCGAAGAAGCCGATGTGGACAGGAGTTTCGTCGAACCGGTCAGCTAAGAGCCAAGCGCTGGATGCTATGAAGGCTCTAATCGCTTGGCAGCCCATTCCTGTCATGCGGGCTCGTATGCGTCTCCGTGTGACATGCCCTGTGTCACTATTGAAGCAATCTGTCAAGGCTGCTCCTGGGGCTACCCCAGCCAAAGAGAAGGAGGCACCCTCTGGTGGCTCTAAAAATAAGAAGGGAAACAAGGGATCGAAGAAGGGAAAGCGTGGTGATGACTCGGATATCGAGGCTGGGTCTGATGCTGAGGCTGCGCCTAAAGCCCCCGGCACTGTCAAGGATAAGATTATGGCGTTTATCGAGTCGATCGAGTCACAGGAAGTTATTGGTGGAGATGAGTGGGAGATTGTGGGTTTCGCCGAGCCTGGTGCATTCAAGGGATTGAATGAGTTCGTGGGTAACGAGACTCGTGGAAGAGGCCGGGTTGAGGTCTTGGATATGTCGGTCACACATGAGGATTAAGTGGCTATTGCTCTACGGGGCTATACATGATTACCGATATGACTGATGACAAAAGTTCAAATGAATAGATTGGCTTTTGCCATTCACTTTCATCCACTCCCTATGAGTAGATGCAGCCAAGCCCTACCCCAATAATGGGCTGAAGAAACTTTGCTGGAAAAAAGCAAACATACATAGCCAAGCAACACATCAAGCCTGTACCTACTGGAAAAGTACTGTAAGTTAGAGCTTTCATCTAAAGAATGAAGAGGGATAAGTAAAGAAATTTGATAAATAACCGAGACTCGACATGTAGAAGTATAGCAAGCCAAAAGTATATGATAAATTACAGCGCATGCAGTCAATACAGACAAAGAACGGACCCATCGCCATAAATGAAAGATGCAGATATTCACAGAAAGACAGAAAAGCAAATCATGATCGTGACACATAACAAACTCATGAACTGCAAACCGCAAACTCAGACATTCAACCTACGCATGCCGATGTTATCACATCCAGTCACCATCAAAACCACATTCTTACCCGGGCCAAGTTCTCTCGCGAGATCGATAGCCTTGGCCACCGCGTGACTCGAGTCCAGGCCAGAATGGATTCCCTCGTGGTGCTGGAGTGTTTTGAACCCATCCAGGGCATCCACGTCGGTAGCCGTTGAAATTTCAATCCTGCCCGCGTCCTTCCAATGAGCGACCTCAGGGCCCACAGTGGACAAATTCATGTCTGGCGAGATAGAATGCGAGTCAAGTATCTGGCCCTCATTGGTCTGCAACAAGAGCGTACGAGCACCCTGGAGAACACCAAGCTCACCATCTGTCAGGGCAGCCGCGTGAGCAGCCTCCACACCAATCAACCGAACAGACAGATCATGAAGGAATGGTCTGAAAAGTCCAATTGCACCACTCCCACTTCCAACGGCGGTGACGAGGGCATCCGGCTTACAGCCAGCCTCCTGCATCTGGGCCGCGACCTCCTCGCCTAGGAGAGCTTGGAACGTGCGAGCCAGGGTCGGCAGCGGACTAGGACCCACGGGGCTACCCATGAGGTAGTATGCAGACTGATGGTTGCAAACCGAATACCGCAGGGCCTCCGTGATGGCGGCGCGCAGGGAGCCCAGGCCAGATGGGGCGCTCGCGGTGATAATCTTAGCGCCGAGCATCTTCATCTCAAGCACATCCTCATGCTGGGCATTAGCATCATCTGCACCCATGACAATCACACAGCGCAAACCCAACCGAGTGCACATTGCAGCGGTGAAGGAACCATGTTTGGCCGAGGCGCAATCAGTGACGACCTCGGAGCGGCCCATTCGTCGAGCGAGGAGGAGCTGACCGACGATATTGCGGGCCTTGTGGGTTCCGTATTCGTTCTGGTCTTCGCGCTTTAGCCAGATTGTTGCACCGCCCGCCAAGCTGGTCAACTTGCTCGCCATGTGCAGCTGGGTGGGCCGGGAACGCTGGAACGTGGCATATTCATGCCAGAAGGAAGGCTCTGAGACAGTGGCCTCGAAGAACGAGGTCAGCTCGTATAGGAAACCCATTATAGATTCTGGAGCAAACTGGCCCCCGTAGGAGCCGTAGCCATCGAATGAAACCTGTGGGGCTTTCAGGGTGCCATCTGGTTGCAGGATAGGAATATACGGTGTGATCAAGTGGGTAGCTGTTGACTTGGCAGACGTCTTGGACAGGGGAGTATCAGAGGCAATTGAGGCTGTTGTTGCTTTGGTTTCTCCATCTGATGCGTCTGAGGATTCCGTGTGTGTGCTGATGGTGCAGGAACGGGGTATCGAAGCCCTAGGTAGTATAGTGGCATCTCTTTGTATAGAAGGGCTAGCAATTCGTGATTGAAGCGTTTCAGGAACTTTGACCAAGCGAATGACATTCTTAGTATCTGGGGAATCGGTGGGATCGCATGGTTTAGAGTAAAAGCAAAGAAGACGGCGCAGAGATCGAAGCATGATGCCCCACGGTATAGATAGAAGCAATTGGTTCGAGGAAGTGTTTGGAAGGAATAGATGCTTTGGAACAATGGATAGATTGTTTGATCGGGAGTGATATTATAGAAGCCGTGCATTCATGTGCATAGAAGTTGAAGCAAGTGGACGACAACATGGGACGAGGGATACATTAAATATGGCGTGAGCGCTTCTACATCTGGGTAGCCTCACTGGAAGCTCGGATCTGCTCCTGCGATCATTTCGGGGCTGTGGCTACTCTTACCTAAATGGGTTATTTGCTTGGCTATTGTATTATATGGCTTCGACTTCTTCCCAGGCTTTCCATGTCTCAGCTTCCACCAGTCATACTTCCTTCTTCTTCTAATAGTAAGATCAATTTTCTTTGTTACAATCTATCTCCAACATAGCACTATACTCGATACAGAGCTATCATATTCCAAATGTGATCCATAGTATGACTTCAGTTCTGGCGCTACGGAACAATCTATATCGTACACATCATTGCGGAGCCAACTTACACTTACACAGGTAGGAAATCATTGTGATGAGAGTTATAGGGAGGTAGGCATGACAGCTTGCATGTAGAAGAGCGTTGTTTGCTTGAGTGACATGCACTGAAATCTCCAAGCATAAATGCCGATCTTGCCCAGGAACCGAGGGACATATGTTGTGTCACTCTGCCGTCGACCCAACTCTTGATATCCTCTCATCACCGTTACACCAACACTTCTTTGCCATTATCACCATGGAATCAGCTGTTCATCTTTGCTCCGTCATCGGGTGTTCAGTCTCGGAATACCACACAGTTCTATTCATCGGCGACCATGCTTGAAACGATATTTACCTAGATCAAGGTGCTTGAGGATTTGCAGTGTGCCTTCAATGTTACATTACACACTTTTCAGCTCGTGCCATCCTCTTTGTTCGACATCCGTTTGTCTCAATTCTAGGGCGTAGTTGGTCATGTGACATCTTTCCTTCACGACAGGATGATGTCTATGCGTTCAATTCTTGCATGTTTCCTTCATGAATAGGCGCCACGTATGTTTTTGTCGCTCGTATTCGGTGTGGGATCTTACAGGGGTGGATCGAGATTGGCGTTAAGCTTCGAGAGGATTCAAACATCAGACCTTTTGACCAATGCTATATTCTTTGTTTGGAGAGTTTCTCGGCTTCATTTCGGGGCGTGGTTGATCCCAAGTTCATATGATTCTTATTCATCCACGAAGGCGACGTGATCCATGCATTCCATTCTTTCAGGGCCCTTCATGTATAGACGCCACGTGAGTTTGTTTCTTGACACTTATATACAGAGCGAATCCCTAATGTAGGAGCTATGCAGGTATATAAAAGGATCGGGGACCGTCGGGCCGTCTCGTTCTTCCATAAGTTGATATTCCTCGATTTCAGATCTAGGGTGCATCGTGTCATGTGACCGATATTGTGTGTCCCTTTTTTGAGTATTCACCAGCTTGTTTGAGGTTTATTAAGCTTGGTCCTATATTGAGGCAGATCTTAAGGCATAAAAAATCTCAGCATCGAGAATGGATACATTTATGCAGTTGCTTTTGTTGCTTGGATTCGACTACGAACAGCTGGGATACATAAACCACCAGCAGGCAATACTCTGCATATAATCTATTCCAACCGGGTGACTGACAAGAGACTACAGTACGGTCAAGAACCACGCAGTCAAGCCACCCAGCTTGCACTAGAGCCCAAGTCAGTAAGAGCAAAGACCACAAGGCTACTCGACGACTGCAAGTAGCCGATACATAAGTTGCAAGGCACATCCAAATGCAAGCACAATTCAAAACAAGACCTAAAGCGAAGCAAACCCCCACAAGTGAAACTCGAGATATTATAAGACAGATAACCTAAAGGATAGGCCACCCAAGTTCATTTCCCACTAAAATTTATATATAAACAGCATTTCCACCCCCAGCCCACCAAAACCCCAACCTCCATCCAAAGTTATCTAAACTCAACACAAACGCGTCATTCCCGCGCTCAAAACAAGAAACCAGCCACACAAAAGTCTGTTAGCAGGGATAGACAAGTCGATCGAGAAATTCATTACTTGGTTAGTGAATGCCCACGCTGATATGCTTTTATAGTGCGGGGGAGAAAGCTTGGCTTTGGCGGGGTTGGGGTCGATTCTTCTCGAAGGCTGAAAATCGAGTCTAGATCATCTAGATCTAGAGCGAAGTCTGATTTGAGTTATACTTTATATCCGTATTGGCATGTGGAAACCGGGAAACCGGGAATGCCGGAAGTGTATATAGTGTAGGTCTATATCATTCTTTTATATCTAGCGACCTTCTATTTTGGAGACATTGCAGACGTGATTGCGAGGAAAATCATGGAAAGACGAAGATCAGATCTGACTGATACAGATCAACCCAAAATCGAATAAACCTTAAAACGGGTATACGCTCATATGCAAATGCATGACAGGGAAAGGGGTCCCCGACCGAGTGGATCCTCGCTCTCCGCGAGAAGACATCAGCTAGGGACAATAGTGAGACAGCGTGCCGGTACGCTGTCCCAGTGTAAGTCGAATGGATATCCGACCGGTGATCCTTGGATCAAAGGTATGAAAATGGAGGTTAAAAAAAGTAGACATCAAGTCGGAAGAAAGGGATCAAAAAAGGAACAATCTCCAGGACAGGAAGAAAGTAGGATGATACAAAAAGGGATGGCGTCTAGCCAGGATGAAATCTACGCGCAGACCTGGACGGCGATCAAGGCGCGGGTAAGGTCCTCGGGAGCGAAAGGGAGTTTCTGCTTTCGGGGCGACATGATGCACGGGGAGAGAGCGGGCGAGATGGCGCGGACGAGGGGGGAAGTATAGCGGATGGATTCCTTTGGGCTTTGGGATCCTTGAGATCCTCGGTGATCTCGTAAATGGAGGTCTCGTTGAGGAGGGTCATCATTGAGCCGCTGTAACTTGAGGGGTTGATAATAGTTGAGGACTGGGAGCCTGAGTCGATTGCACGGGGCGATGATTCTGGGGCATCTGAGTCGGAGGCTATAGAAGAGAATGTTAAAGGGGTTTACGATAAGTGGGGGGATGGAGAATGTACCTGACGTATCCTCTCGGGTATGGGCCTGTCCATGTGTACCTGACTCCTCGAGGAGAACATCGGGAGCAGGACAGTTAGTGGCGCAGGGCGACAGGGATAAATCGAGCGAACGAGGACGGTCGGCCGTAGCGGCGTCAAAAGACCACGCGGCTAACCGCTTTTGGTGTTCGCGATCAAAAGGCCCCCGAAACTTGGAGGGAGGACACTCGTGGCGTCGATAGTATTCCACCTTGGGCTTTCCATCGGATTTAGAGCGGAACACCCGCTTGACCTTCTCGCGGAAGTTCATATCGGAATTGTGAAAGTAAAAAGCAAATCAAATTCAGAATAGAGAAATCAATGCGGGCGGTTCCTGGTGGAAGTGCCTCAGGGCATACCAATCCCAGAGTGGGAATGGACGCAGGTGTGCAAGCACGAAGTGGTGGGAGAGAGTAGGAACTGTATGACCATGCTTTGCCTGAACAGAAGGAAAAGAAAAGCAGAGGCAACAACAGTATACGAGGGGAAAATCAGGAATTATATGGGGCAGATAAGCCGCCCCCCAGAACGTCCGATCCATATCCGGTGAAGACATTGGGGCAAATGCTACTCCAGAATACTTGGTCGTCTATTGGGGGGATTTACTCCCCACCTGTCCGTGCGTGTACCGTGTATACAGTATATAGTAGCATTGGTATTGGTTGTAGTTCTTTTCTATCTGGTACTATGTTACACTTCACTAGGAAGGTCCCAACAGAAAGGGAGAAATTCTCCTGGAACCGGATCGAAGGAACCGAGCGCGAGAGGAACAGTGTGACGGGGGTACGAAGTACGAGTACGGTGGTACATTTTATGCCTCACACATAATATCTCCCACAATGCACATCATACTGGAGACTGGAGTCTCACTTAGGAACACGCAATGATCATCCCAACAGACAGTGGCGCAATGCAGCGAAGTCTTCCAGAAAGAAATATCAGCCACGAGCCTCCGAGTTACATCATTAATGTAGTGTGTAATAAAATTGACACAAGGAAAGATAGCCGGAATCGACTGGGCGAATGTCGTTGGGTCGAAGGAAGAAACCGGAAACGGAGTGGACGCGGGACCCAGTGGGGGGCAAAACTCGGCACAAGCGTGCCGGTTGGGGTGGGGGTGGGTTTGGTCAATGATACACCTTCTGTTCTGGTTTTTCAACAAGTAGGCCGGCTGGCCCAATGGCAAGGCGCTTGACTACGAATCAAGAGATTGCAGGTTCGACCCCTGCGTCGGTCAATTTTTTTTTATTTTTCTTCCTTATAATCCTTATAACTATGGTACACTACAGTACTGTTCTTACTGTGTTGGTTTTGTTTTTGTTTTGGTTACTGCGTCATACTATTGAGTTACAATAATAGCGCGCCCCATTGATCAATTCTACAGGCATATCCCTGGGCTGTGTAGGCATGGCGATCCTTTGGCCCTTGGTACTCTTTGCTCCTCTCATTTTACTATTTTTGAACGATTATTAATGACGCCCACAAGTGGGCGTCAACGCCCTATTTTGGCCGTTAAATGATGTAACCGGCTGTTTATAGCCCTAGCCCGCCACAATGAAGAATGTTAGAGCACAAAAAGTTGTACTTGGAGAGTCCGCGTTAGTAGAAGCCTTCCCCAGATCAGCTCAAGCCCCCTGATGGCCCCTGAAGGCGTGCAGGCACAACCCTATTTACCCGATTCAGCGTTAGGGCTGGCCAATGCCCTGCAGGCACACGACATACTTCCGCGCGCAGTCAAAGAATGGAGTTATATGCAAGGTAGACAATGAATACAGTAGACGCCTTAGATATAGTCGAGATCCAGAAGCTTATAATTACTCTCCCTATAATTATATGATTGCTATAATTACCCTTATTACGTGAAGACGTTCCAGAGCTTAAACACAACCGCGGAACCCAACATACCGGATCGTCATCCCTTCCCTTCTCACATACTTGTAAGTTGACACCTTCCACTCCCTGCGAACTGCTTCTACAAGTTCGCTTCAATCGCACTTTTCCCCTGACTTGCGACAGACACTTTTACGAATCTCAATCATGCCTAAGAAAGGTGGAAAGAAGGGCAAGAAGGGCGGCAACAAGCCCGCCGCCGTCGCTGGTGCTGCCGTCGACAAGGTCGCCGACACCGCCAAGAGCGTGGTGTAAGTCGAGAAAAAATTCGGCGCATTCGTGCCACCTCATCAACTTTGCTGACTGGTCGCAGCCCTCAAGAAAATGTCGAGGACAAGGCGCACACTGAATCCCAGCCCGAAACCGCGACTGAGACTTCCGAGACTGTGACCAAGCCCACCGAGACCGCCGAGTCCGAGGCCAATGTGGCCGATGCTGAAAAGGCGCCCGTCGCGGAAAAGGACACAGTCGACGAGGCTGTAGAGAAGGCGCAGGCCTCCAAGGCCGGTCAGGTCGGCGAATTGGACGCTGGCGACGCCGCCGGTAGTGGTACGAAGCCTATGAACCAATTATCAATAAAATCACCTAACTCAAAATTCGCAGCCATCATCCCCGAAAAGACCACCAAGGAGTCGGCCATCGTCCCCGAGACCCCCAAGGAGCCCGCTCCTTCCACCGCGACCGGCGCGGCCACCACACTCGCTGAGCGCCCCAAGACTTCGGAATCGACCGCTGCTGCGGCCGCCGCCCCTGTCCCTGAGTCTCTCCCCGCCCCCGAGGTTGCTCCTGCGGCTGCTGAGGCCGAGGCTGAGGCCACCCATAAGCGCCCGTATGACCAGCCCATCTTCTCCAACGAGGAGAACTTGAAACCCCACAAGATGCCCAAGACCGAGGAGGAGCAGCTCGCAGCTAGCGCCGCTAAGGATAAGGCGACCATTGAGAACCTTGCCGGTGCTGGTCCTGCTTCGACTGCTGCGTTGACGACTCCTGAGCCAGTGCCTGCCAAGACCGAGGCTCCCAAGGAGGCCCCCAAGGCCGAGGAGAAGAAGGTAGAGGAGAAGAAGCCCGAGGCTGCTTCCAAGACCACCGCTCCATCCAGCGGTGCGAAGCCTTCCTCCTCCGACGCGGTCGCTGGTGCAGCTGCGGCCATGTCTTCCAGCAAGGACAAGTCTGCCGCCCCCGCAGCCAAGGAGGCCGAACTCAAGAAGCCCGAGGCAGCCCTGAAGCGCGGCGAGGAGCCCCAGCCCAAGATCGAGACCCCCAAGGCCGAGCCCAAGACCGAGTCCAAGCCCGAGACCAAGGAGCCCGTCAAGGACGACGCCAAGGACGAGCCCAAGGCATCGGAGCCATCAGAGGGCGAGAAGGAGAAGAAGAAGGAGAAGGGCGGATTCTTCTCCTGGTTGAAGCGCAAGTTCAAATGAATAAAGTAATCGCTATGGGAAAATAAGAAAAAAAGAGAACCGAGAACAGTTGGTGTACGATACGCATGTACACGCTAGTTTGGTGGGTTGCAGACAGCTGAGGCTTACACTTGCACGTTAGGCTTGCTTTTGTTTTTTTGTTGTTTTTTACTCCCTTTCGGGCTTTGATGATACACCAGTTGAAATTATATATCAGATACAGAATCATAGTGCTTAACTTAGTGGCTTGCTTTCCTCTATTTTGTTCTAATAGTGTCGCTGGGGGTGTTTCTCTAAGGGGCCTGAGCTATACACCGCTATTCCGATGTCAATGCGCAAGGATGGAACGATTGTCCCTTCTAGTTTACTGCATATGGAGACACTGGAGTCGAGTGGAGTCGATGACGAGTTCGGTGTGTTAGCCAGGGTCTCCATGTCTCAGCTGTAGCTATACAGAAAGAATGACGTTCAAGGGAATCGGAGGCATGGAGGAGATGTAGATACGCAAGCCATCGCCACCACCACTGTAATTACTGCAGTACACTGTATGTACCAACCTCCTTATAGATTGCAAATTATCAGCCAGTTCAAAGTACTAGTTGCTCAATATCACCACTAGAATTATTGACCAAAAGCAGCCTTCCAAACTATCCAATAGCTTTTTCCATCAACTCCGCTTCCATTCATTCCTAAATATATAGCTTACAACCAAACCCCCATGGCGGTAACTAAATAGCAAACTTCATACTAGCATATCGATATATACCGATAAAGAGGATCGGAAGATAGATGTTACTGTATAGTATTCCCTTACCTGCTTGACGAGACGCTTCAGTTCCGAGCCCGGGTATAGCTATGTAGGTAAGTAAGTATATGACAGCTCCCTCAAGCTGTCTTAAGAAGCGAAATGTATTAGTTATGTTGGTATGACCAATTCTTGTAATAAATAAGAGTTAGTGAGAGTAGTCGTACATGTTTTATAGAGTTAGGCAACATTGTAGTTGAACTGCAACCCCATTATGCTTGTTATCTATTCTCTCCTCCTATATCACCTGAAATCCATCAAAATACCGTCCTGACTCCTATACATATCAACTTACTCATTCTAAGCATTCTAAGCATGATGCCGAGACAGACGAAACAGCTCGTGAAGGAAGTCAAGTTATCGGTAATGCATCACGGTATCTATATAGCTCAGCTATAACGATCTACACTATTATCATAGATCTCGTCCTATATCTGACATGGGATGCAATAACGGAGGTATTCCGCGGTGCTAAGTAGTTATAAAGATGGGGTAGGATTCCCCTCAGACCATCTCTACCATCTCTATAGACCTTCCAACAACCACCATGTCATCTCAAGTCCGCGTTGCTGTTACACAAGCCGAGCCAGTCTGGCTCAACCTCAACGCAACAATCGAAAAACATGCAAACTCATCACCGAAGCAGCCGAAAACGGCGCGCAGATAATAACATTCCCAGAATGCTGGGTACCAGGCTATCCAGCCTGGATCTGGTAAGTCCGCACCCCAATCTTCGAATGTGAATTCGATTCTAACACATACCGAGTTCCAGGTCACGACCAGGCGACATGGACCTAACAACCCGCTACGTCCAGAACTCACTCAAGATCGACTCACCACAGATGAAGAAAGTCCAGCAATGCCCCAGCACCTCCAAGATTGTCGTTGTACTAGGATTCTCCGAGAATATCAATGATTCGCTGTATATCGCACAGGCCATCATCGACGCCGATGGCGAAATACGCATCGCCCGCAAGAAAATCAAAGCTACGCATATGGAGCGGACGATTTTTGGGGATTCATTCGGTGACTGTCTTGATAGTGTTACCGACACAGCTGCAGGCCGGGTCGGTGCATTGTCTAGTTGGGAACATATCCAGCCATTGCTCAAGTATCACACGTACTCGCAGCGAGAACAAATCCATGTTGCTGCATGGCCACCACTGTTCGATGATGATGATGGGGAGGGACTCTATTCAATGTCGCGTAGTGGTAAGTTAAGGTGTTTCAACGGCAGACTGAGTGAATTGAACTAAAGCTGACGAGACGAATACTGTAGGCACGGCTGCGATTGCACAAACGCACGCTATAGAATCTCAATCATTTGTCCTACATACGACAGCCGTCATCAGTCAGGCTGGTATTGATATGATGAAAACGCAGGGAGGAGCGATAATGAATAGACCCGGTGGTGGGAGCTCGGCTGTTTTTGGACCGGATGGTCGTAAGTTGACACGCGATCATCCCGAAAACGAGGAGACTATCTTGTATGCCACCTTGGACTTGGACGATATACTCAAATCGAAGGCATTTGTGGATGTGTGTGGTCACTACAGCCGGCCGGATTTGTTGTGGCTCGGGGCTGAGAGCGAGGTTAAGCTTCATGTTAGGCCGAAGAAGAGTCAATAGAGCGGGACAGGATAGCTGCGGGCCTGTAGATCTGGTGGTTGGATCAAATCATCAATTCATTCAAACTAGCGTGTACATATCTTGGGCGTTCGTGTCAATGCAAATCTCATGTCCCAGGCCTAGTTTCGTGTTAAACAGTTGTGCCCATGCCCTAACGCCGTATCCCATAAAATCATAGTGTAACATTCGTTCTGTGAAACAGTTCAGAATAAGTCCAAGCCACGTCTATTTCGCGTGGTTGATCATCTCCGCGTAAAGATCCTCTGGGATCTTCCGGACAATTAGAACCGTCAACGCAATAATCTCCCTTGCATCGAGAGGAGGGAATGAACGGAGAATCTTGTTCGGACTGAATAAAGTTAGCATATATGAATTTTGTCGAGGATATCAGCTGACTCACCTCGGGCTTTCAAAGATCATATCTCGCATCCGTATGAGCTGGGCAACAATGCACAGAATGTTCAAGTGCGGTCCGTACGCAAACAAGAAATCCCACAAGTGCAAAACCTCTGGTAAGGGAGGCGTACAAGCGCAGAGAGTCAAAACTGAAGGGAACGCGTAGAGCTCTGCATGCATGCCCTTGGAGAAGAGATAGGCCGCAAGCTTAGGCTCCACTACCTCAAGACATCGATCGACTAAGCGAAGACCCTTGTGTACGCCGTCCATGGCGCCACGAATATACCCCGGGCATTCTCGAGTGACAAAGTAATGGAACAGCGCAAAAGCTTCAACCTCGCTGCGAGCGGCATATAGAAATGGCGCACATAACACGTTCATGCCTTGAACGTAGATTGCCGAATCACTTGTAGCACCGCTATTGATACTCTCTAGCTCCCCACCGAATGTCGTTTCCTCTGCAATGCTGGGCGGGGTGTTTACAAGAAGCTCCATCTCGCGCCGCCGGGAGGAGGTCGGACGAGATCGCGGTTTCGGCTTGGAGTCGTGAAGTTTCCATGCCACGGCATTGAGTAACCGAATCAAACTTGCTTCTGTGACGCGGCGTTTGAAGAGAGGGTCTGTAGCCAAGGTGCGGAATGTGTCATTGCGGATTTTGGCGTAAGCGGGGGAACGGCCGCGGTGGATGAGGGCGAGGTAGTCGTCAGTTGGCATTGGCGGGATATCAAGAAGGATCAACCATAGGTAAATCCGGTACGGCGACTATAGGTATATATGGGTCAGTATATTCATTGCAGAGTATTAGGCCAAGAACACTCACCATGCCATCCCCATCAGCGTCCACTCTGCTGGACAGCACGAGGTATTTCAGCTCTTGAAGCCCCTCACGGGGATCTCCATTCGGGGGACCATCGCGCAAGAAATTCTCCAAGAGCGATCGCTTCAATCCAATCCCTGACCCAGTTTTCCGTGCAGGTCGTCTGTGCGTTGCAGTGGGTGGTGCAGCCACAGCTTCACGAGTAGCCGCGTCGCTATTCGATCGTGCTCGACGATGTGCCCGCGCTCGTGTTGCAGCACCAGGCAATCCAGCTGACTCATGGTCTGTAGGGTAGGATTCAGACGCACGGGAGGCCTGGGTTTGGGCGATGAGCGCGTTGGAGGTTGACAGCACTTGGTGAGACTGGATCTTTCGCAGTGTTCGCATCGTCCGCGGGGAGGCGGGTGTCTCGGGGGCGAGACCCCAGGAATGTTGAGGTTTAGCCATCTTGTTGGAATCAGGTCTGCATTGGGATGTCACCGGACATCTTCAGAGAAGACGAAACGAGGTAGAGGTTCGCGGGTGGAGTGTATCAAATGGTGGCTGGAGTTATTTTCTGCCGTGGAAATGCGGAACGGGTCCAGCTCCGAAGTATACAATTTCATAAACATAAGCACTTCATTCACCTACATCTCTATTGCTACACATTGAACACTTCGTACATATAAATCGATTCCCCATAGCAGGATTTGCTACCCTGACAACTGCAAATCATGAAAGACGGCCCCAACGCCAACATTACTCCCATATCTTTGATACAAATCGCTCAGGCTTGAACTGGATTTCCTTCAGGGTTCGAATTATTCCCACTCTCTCCGCCCATAATGTTGCGGACAAAGTCACGGTACTGGAAAACTTCGCCTCTCTTGCCCATCCCAGCTGTCTTTGCTCCCCTCCCGAATGCTCGTCGTCCGGTGAACCCGCTAAAGACTTCATCAATTTGTCGCTCGGTCAACCGTATCTCTCCGTCCTCTGGGGCAGTGTGTAGTAGAGCATCGCGCAATTCACCGACGTCAATCTGTCCATTGTCATCGTCGTCAAAAGCAGCGAGGGCATTGAGAAGCTCTTGTGAAGGCGACATTGATGCCATAAGCCCGGATAATGTGTTCAAAAAGGTTGGGAAGTTCATTGTCTGGCCCGATCCTGGTGGGAAGAAGCGCGAAACTGTAGACGAGGACGAGTCTTGTCCTGTTCAGATTTTGAATTAATTACCCAGCCTAGATATGAAACGGGATTGATTTACTCACCCAAAGTTGTGAGTACATCAATCACATCATCCTTGTTTACCAGCCCATCGTTGTCCCGGTCCAAAACCTGGAAAGCTTCTCTGATTTCTCTTACTTGGTGGGCCGGCAGCTTTCCAGCCGCGTCGCTGGCGGGGCCTGCATATCCAACAGACCTGGTTCCCAGAATCGGTGATGAGCTGCCTGGCGACTGCGCTCCTTTCGTCGGGGAGGGAGGCAGCTCTCTCTTAAAGTTCGGCTGAGGAATGGGAGCTTCGCTCTTCGGTGACGCAGATTCACGGTCTGCGGCCGTGTATGACTGGTTCAGCTTGCTAGGCGACACCATGGGTGTATAGCTGCGACTGGGTGAGCTCCCTGGAGTGCCTGTACGACCGGCGGAGGGCGGGGAGTTTGGAGTCGACGGGCGCCGGAAGGGTGATGCCCTCGGTGACCCGAAAGACAATGGCGATGGCTTGAAAGTGGGATTGTTGGCCTATTCCATGTTAGTTAGAACCTCGAACATACTGCGTGAGCCCGACGTACCATGTTGAAAGTTGGTTGCTCTGCCAAACAATGACGCTCTGCTTGAGTAAACAATCGGCGGTATAGTCGGCCCGACGGCACGTGTTTACGAACTATAGGGCATCACACATCGGCGCTTGGAGGAAATAGGACCTGTCAATTTTATTGTCTCCAATAAAAACAAAATGCTAGCTTCTAGGGATAAAAGGTTCTGATCTCTCAGATCTCTCAGATCTCTCCGATCTCTCCGATCTCCTTGAAGGCTCTCCAGCTGTTATCAGCTATCGTCCCCGCTGTGGAGATCGTTCCTTTTTCTTAACCCCTGAACCATTCATTACAGTGATTGGCACCTGGGCAGCATTGACACTCCGTGACTTGTGCTTCTCCAAGACCCAGATCTTGGCACTCGGTATGCTATTCGACTCTACTTTGTCCGGAGCAATCGTCTCAATCAACTCCGAAGATGGCCACAACGCTACCATATCACCCGTCCAACGACTCCCTCTCCGCCTCGAATAACCGCCAAACGAGTGGCCTCCCTCGGTTGTCGCCTGCGGCCTCCTTTATTGGACGCTCGCCCAGCAGTTCGCATGGCTCGTATCGACGGACGTCTGCAGAAAATGCGGTGTCTAGTTTCAGGCCACGCCGGTGCAAGGCACAGTACCCCCTCGACTCGCCCGAGCGCCATGTGGAATACATTTTGGTAGCCTCGTTTCACATTGATCGGGGCCCAATTATGGAGCACCAATACCCCGCGGCAATCAGTGGTGACGAGAGCATGCTTGCGGAACTGATGCTGCCGGATCAGACGCATGTGCGGAGTCAAGATTGGACTATATTCTTCTTGCACAAAGATACAAGCGGTGAAGATGAGGAGGACCCTGGGAGTGGAAGGAAGAAGAAGAAGCGCAAGTCGAAATACCGCGGGAACGAAGAGGGTGCCGATATTCAGCATGAGAACCCCGACGAAGCCTCGGATGACCCCGATAGCAGCGACGACGAGGGTGGTGAAGGGCCACCCTTGATGTATGTGCTGAATCTTGTCAACACAAAGCAGGATAACACTGTGCGACGGTATGTCTATTATATCGTTTTGGTGTGCAGGGCTAATGGTAAACAGTGGCGCAGTTGTCAAAGCTATGGCAATTTGTACGCGGCATTCATTCCTTCATATCTACAAAGTAAGCCCTCTCTCCGTCGCACCAACAATTCTGACCATCATAGCCTTTGCTCCTTTTGGCCCTGGAGGATTACTTCAAGTCGCCATACTCCGAAACACTAGCATCTCTTTATGACGCCGTCAACAATATGGACCTTTCCCTAATGCCGAAAATGTCGTTACTAGAGCGCAATATTCTGCAATCCAGCAACACGAAGGAAATGTTTCTGGAAAAGTTCGAACAAATGATCCGTCAGAGAGAGGAGGAGGAGAACCAAGATGGGGAGTGTCCGCCGTCGCCTAAGAAAATGAGTCGATACGCCTTACCACGGGACACACATGAGTACGAGTCAAAGGTCGTCTACAACGACATTCCTATCCCGGTCAAAATTCCGACTGTGATCTGGCCAGAGACCGTTGGAGATTTCTCTCTCATCAAACTCATTCAGACCTTTGCCGCTCCTCATGCTACATCCCCTCAGGCTTTCCCAGCCCATCCCCATCTGACCACAAGTGGCCCATTCACCCACCCCATCATTGTTCTTGTCAATGCGATTCTCACGCAGAAGCGCGTGATCTTCTTGGGACACAACCGACCCTCTGGAGAAGTGGCCGAGGCAGTTTTGGCGGCCTGTGCTCTTGCATCTGGGGGCATTCTGCGTGGATTCACCCGACATGCATTCCCCTATACGGATCTGACTAAAATCGATGATCTCCTCAAAGTACCTGGGTTCATTGCAGGAGTTACAAACCCGACGTTCGCTAATCACCCTGAATGGTGGGATGTGATGTGCGACCTACCCACAGGTCGTATGAAGATCTCGACTCACGTTGAGCCTGCACCGGTAACAGAAGGGCTTTTATTCTTCCAGCAGCAGAACTCGCTTCTGCCGAACCATGCATCCAACACGACCTCAGACCCCACAGGCGACACTCTGTTTATGGAAGATATTCTGCGCAGTATCACCCAGCGACATGGCGAGAATGCAATCCGAGCAAAGTGGCGTGCATATATCACCAAATTCGTCCGCGTCGCTGCAGCATTCGAGGAGGCTGTGTACGGTGCATCCAACCTGTACATCATCGGCCCAGGCGAAGAGCTATCTCCCGACAGCCCAACAGGCCAGCAAACCGATGCAAACGACCCAACCTCCCTCCGCGGGCATGGCTACGTTTGGGCCGACGAGAACGCAAAACAGCGCGAGCTCTCAGCATCGGTATCCCGAATCGAAGGCTGGCGCAACACCCGCTCCTACTACTCCTACATCCAAGACATTGCCGCCATGTACTATCCCGCTCGCCCAATCCAACGACCAGACATCCACCACCATCACGACCGACTCCGAGCCCTAAAGCTCTCCCACTCCGAAGCAGCATCCGTCTACTTAGCCCTGTCGCACTCCGTCAAAGACTACGCTGGAATCTGCCAGCTCCTATGCGTCGCTCCAGAGAACCAAGCTGGTCTGTTCTACGTGAGCATGGGCCTGTTTCATCCAGACCAAGTTGTCCGCGAAGCCACAGTGGATCTTCTGGACCGTATCGCCGTCCACCCCGCAGGTCGCCATTTCTGGACTCACGTCGGGCGATTCGCCAAATTGGGGTATATCCGCGTAAAGCGGGAGCGCGACGCTGCCACACAAAGCCCCATCTCAGGCGCGGCATCGCCTACACTGCCTATGAGTTCGAGCTCTGGAACCAGCTTCGGTGGTGAGCCGCAGAGTCTTGTTGGCGTCGCGATGGGAGATGGTCTGTCTAGGAGGAGCTGATCTATGTGTTTGTGTCTATTGATTTTTCAACATTTCTGTCAGTGAGCGTTTTTCTGTTTTTTTCCCTTGCCAGATATTCATTCCCATATACGTGACGACTATGAAAAGTGTCTATGCCCATCCATGATTTTAGCTGCAACTCATTTATCTATATCTCTGTTCTTGTTCTCTCCATTGTGGATCTATTGGTCTATGCAGTGCCATTGGCGTTTGAGGAATACATTGTTGGTAATTTTTCCTCGCCAGGGGTGTTTCAAGATTCTAAATATAGACAGTAGAAGCAACACACTCTCAACCTTGAATGCTGGAACACATAATAGAGAAGCATCTCATACACCGATATATGAAGGATGCCGATGAAGAAAATTGTACTCATATGAACAATATCACTAAAAATTACATACAAATAAAGGATCGGGTACTAGAAAGCAAAAACACGCTCTTCGCTGTCATAACCCGTGGCTGTCTTCAAACAGACTCCAAAAAGAACAAAAAAGGAGAGGAAGTGTCTATAGACAGAACAAAACAAAACAAGAAGATATAAACAATCAAGGAAGATTAGTCAAAATCGCAAGCACCAATCCAACCACCGTCGCAGACCAGAGACCGGGCAGTGGAATAGTAAGACCAGCCCCAGCCGTAACCTGATACGAACCCACAGTGACATTAGTACTGGCAAACCCAGCACCACAATGCGCATTGATAATCCTCGCCGAGGGAAGGTAGGTAATATCAAGAGACTGACCATCCTTCTTCGCCCAACGAGCAAAGAGATCCATAGTCGCCTGCAAGCACTGACTGCAAGTAGGTTTCGCACCAGCACTTAACGCACTCCCAATAGGCATAAAGTAAACATTATAATCATCGGGCGCGGAGGAATTCGAGACAGCGTCGACGAAACAGTAATCCTGCGTCGACGGGCTAGTCAGACAAGTGGCACGGTACATCGGTTCATAAGCGACCAAGTCCTTATACGTGCCCGTCACGACTGCATTCCCATTTCCGTAATCCTCAGCGCAATTATCGCTGTTGAGGAGGTCTGCCGCGAGGGAGGTCATGATTGCGGAGCATTGGGATACATCCTGGGAGCAGGAAGCGTCGAGGACGCGGGATGTAGCGGCGGCTGAGGTTAGGGTGTGGAAGAAGGAATTGGAGTTTGCGAGGAGGAGGGAGACGGCGTGGCAGTCAGTGATTGTTGAGTTTGCGCGCCATTTCTTGTAGAAGTTTATGCAGCTGGTTGAGTTTGCGAAGTCGTAGGAGAGGGTATCGTATGGTGTTGGGAGTTCCGAAAGGGAAGATGTTGAGGCTGTGAGGATTCGCCGTTGCAGGGCTTTCTCGTGTGCTGGCTGTTCTCCTGATGTAGAAGATCGCTGTTGATCGGCGATGATCTCTCCACTCGTTTCCCAAGCCGATCGCGGCACAACCGCTTTAGATTGATCTGATACCTCCGCTGGTTGTGCTAATGTTGCGATTGACGATATGCAGAGGAGGATTATTAGGATTAAAGTGGTATAAAGACGGGCCATGTTGAAGCTTGGTGCGCTTGGCCGGTATTGGCGAGAGGTACGTCTGATTCTCGGGAATGATAGATAGTGGCAAGGACATAGGTTAGAAAGAATGAGATCTGCTCTGAGCAAGACGCGATTAGGGAGTGTGGTTGAACGAGTGACGGTGCGCTGGGCGTAATAAAGAAAAAGAGAGTTAGGAGTATGAAGCCGGCTTGGACATGTCGCCGTTACATGGACATGTTCTGTTGATAAGAGATGCCGACGTCGAGATGGGGTTGAGGGCAAGCCTGGTAATATAATAAAGGTTAACGCGATTTTAGTCCATACTTTCGAAGTAAACTTAGCAAGTGAAGCAGCCAAGGCCGAGAACCTGTCTGTGCCATGCGCTAATACCGGAACGAGGCAAGCTTTCAACTGTTGGCCGAAACTAGACTGTTCTGTGGGACTTCGGCTCAGGGGCAGCTGCATCATCCCGTTAATAGTGGTCCATAACCAGGTATAGTCCATATTGTATATTGTACTATTGCACGACATTGGCTTGGTCTGAACTGGCAAAGGCGTTGACACCGGCTTTGGTACCGGAACTGGTGAATTGGCGGAATTGGCGGAACAGCACAATGGGTCAGCCTCAAAGGATTCTGGCCTTGCAGGATCATCCGGTCGAGACCAGTCCATGCGACACGCCCGAATCAGGCATCTTGTCGATCAGTCGGAATCTGTGTGACTCCATCTGAAACTGAAGGGAGTGGTCTGTAGGTAAAATGAAGGGCAGTAAGGAGAGACTCGCACGAGTATGGTACACGTTCTGTAGATCAAGGAGTTACAAAGTAGATCAATTCAGGTCTATTGAGTATATCGGGGTATCAAGATATCAAGTACAATGTTCATACTCCGTAAATGTAGTTGGTCTATAACAGACGGAGATGGAGATTGAGATGGAGATGGAGAGTGGGAAGAAATCCTCGGAGGCCAATTAGGTAAGAGCGAATTCGGTGACTCCCCTCCCCCACAGCCTCCTTGATAGTTAGTCTGTCTCTATAACATCATCCTTTTCTTTTTGCAGCTGTAATATGGAGGATTCATTGGTGCCCGAAACTCGGGTTCTTGCTGTAGCTAGCCATGTAAGTTGTGAAATTGCCTTCTTTCAAGGTCCGAACTGACTCTTCACCAGGTGGTCTATGGGTATGCAATTCCATGTCCCTGATCATGTTGATCATGTCAAAAGATACATAAAAAAGACGACAACTAACAGTTCAGCCATGTCGGAAACACAATGGCAACATTCGTCATGCAATCACTCGGCTGCGAAGTGGCCGCCTTGAACACTGTTCATTTCAGTACGTTGCAGTCCGGCCCTGCATCCGAACCCAGACTCACAAGAAATGACAGGCAACCACACCGGCTATCGCCAATTCAAGGGGACTCGTGCCACCGCCCAGGAAATTTCAGACCTCTACCAGGGGTTGTGTCAGAGTAACCTCACAGACTTCGACGTCATGTTATCGGGCTATGCCCCGAGTGCTGCAGCAGTCGAATCAGTAGGCACCATTGGCATTGATCTGCAGCAAAAGGCTGAAAAGAGGCCCGGCTCTTTCTTTTGGGGTGAGTGCTCCATACTGGCCTGTGCATGTCCCAGCACAGACACTGATAGCGGGTCATAGTGTTGGACCCGGTTATGGGCGATCAAGGACGGTTATATGTCAACGACGATGTAGTCCCGGCATATAAGAAGATTGCTCCTTTTGCCGATCTGATCCTTCCGAACCAGTTCGAAGCCGAGTAAGTCTTTTATCTACTATGTCTCACAATGTCTAATGATCCAGGGTTCTCTCCGGCATCAAAATCACCTCTCTTGCCACACTGGCGGAGGCCATTACAGCCATTCATCGCATCTATTCAGTCCCCCATGTCATCATCACCTCCGTTCAGCTCTTCAAGCTCTCCCAGTCTGGCTCCACCCCACCCCCGCCAGAGAATTTCTTGACAGTAATCGGCTCAACGACAAGATCAGACGGCTCCCCGCGTCTCTTCCGTGTCGATATCCCCGCTCTTGACTGCTTCTTCAGCGGAACTGGTGACATGTTCGCCGCATTGACAGTCGCCCGACTCAGCGAAGCCGTCTCCGCTGCGGGCGATAACCTCCGCGCCACCAAGTCGTGGGTGTCACCAGACATCGTTGCAGCAACCGACCTCCCACTGGCGCAAGCAACCATCAAAGTTCTCTCAAGCATGCACAGCGTGCTGGAGCGAACCATGGAATCGCGCAATGCCGAACTGGCTGTAGCTGTCCCCGCGCATAACGGCGACCTGACTACCGAGGAGCAAGCGAAACGGGATTATCTTCGCCAAACCAAAGCCGCTGAAGTCCGGCTGGTCCGGAACACGCGAGTCCTACGTGATCCCAAGATCCAATTCAAGGTGCAGGATTGGCGAAAGGAGGACCTTCCAGCGCATTTGCAATAGGTGGTTTTCCTTTGATCTCATGATGCATACATAACTTGCATGCAACACGATTGGACGATGGAACTAGAGGCATGGAAGTTCTGGTAAAGGCGGCATAGATGGTATTACGGGTGGGTGGACTCATTCTTCCAAAACCTTTCGGTCTGTACATAGATTCAGTTCTTAGATCAAGCCATGAATTTGTTTTATCATTGTAACGTCTCATGCGCATGTCAATCGTAAGTAGCCACCCCAGCCTATCTATTTTTATTATCTCATTTTTCCATTTTTCATACCCAATGACATTTAAACGCCAGTGCTGCCGAATCCACCGGCACCACGGACACTTTCCTCGAGCTCCTCGACGACGGCAACCTCGGGGGTGTAGATCTACGTAACAGTCAGACAAAGCAGTTACATAATGACTGGGGATAAACTTACCCGCTCCAGAACCAGCTGGGCAACACGATCACCGACCTTGACTATAGACCCAAGACACATTAGCAAACATCCTGCAATCCAAGACCGCAACACATACCCGGGAAATCAACATCAGAGTGGTTAAACAGAAGGACCTTAACCTCGCCACGATAATCAGCATCAATGACACCAGCACCGGTATCAATGAAATGTTTAGCAGCAAGACCGGAGCGAGGAGCGATACGGCCATCTACCAGCCATAGTATTAGCAATCCAATCCAACACTACAGTATAACTCCAAGATCAATGCAAGATGTATTCAACATACAAGTACCCTCAGGCACAGCAATAGCAATGCCGGTATCGACAGCACCCTTGCCCTTAGCCGGAATGACAGTCTCCTTGGAACTGTAGATATCATACCCGGCAGCAAAAGCCGAGCCGCGCGTGGGTGCCTGGGCAGTTTCCACAAGCTTCTTCACCAGCAGTGGGGGAAGAGGCTGGCTGATGGATGTCACGGCTGGGGCGGTCATGGTGTCTGTGTTTGTTTCTGTCTTGGTGCGTTTTGCGAGAGGGGAGGCGGGGAGGGAGGGAGGTTGACGGGCTTTGGTTTCGGATTCGGTTGGTGGGGTTGTCTCTTTGGTCATGGTATGTCAATGTGGAGGTGGAGGAGAGAGGGAGATCTAAAGGGTCTAAAGGGTCTAAAGTGTCTTCAAAAATTGCGGTGTGTCGCGTCTCACCGCTGGGACGCGCCGCGGCTGTTTGAAGTGTTTGTCTTCGCCCCGCTCCCGAGGGAATACTGGGGCCGAGGTTCGCCCCGGAGTCGGTTACTCGCATTGACTACTTGTACTTCTGTTCAGCGCTTTGCATATCTGCATACTTGTTCTTTGGTTCTGGATTCAATTATGGCAGGAGCTGTGCGCCAACCTATAGATATTCCCTCGTTGGAGCGGTACATTGACCAAACTGTACCAGAGCTCAAGACTCCACTCGATGTCAAACAGGTAAGTCTGCCACATCAGCATATAGCTTTGACTAACGTCTTTGTCTATTAGTTCGGTTTCGGCCAATCTAACCCTACCTACCTCCTTACCACCGCCGATGGAAAGCAAGTTGTTCTGCGGAAGAAGCCTCCTGGCAAGCTGCTCTCCAAGACAGCTCACAAGGTGGAGCGAGAGTACAAGATCATTCGGGCTTTAGGGGATACCGATGTCCCAGTTCCCAAGGCATACTGCCTATGCGAAGACAATGCCGTCATCGGAACACCGTTTTATATCATGGAGTTCCTGGACGGGCGACACTTTACCGACCCAGCCATGCCTGGAGTGAGCGGCGAGGAGAGGAACGCACTGTATGCAACCCCATCAAGACAACGCTGGAAGCAATGACGATACTGACCAAAGCAGATGGAAGAATGCAGTGCAAACCCTAGCCAAATTCCACAGCGTAATCCCCAAGACCGTCGGACTCGAGACATTCGGCAAACCAAGCGGCTTCTTCGACCGCCAAATCGCAACCTTCACCACCATCTCCAACGCCCAAGCCCAAGTGCTAGATGTTGACACCAAAGAACCCGTCGGCGAACTCCCCCACTTCAAGGACATGGTAACCTTCTTCTCCAACAAGAGCACGCAACCCCGCGACCGGGGCACCCTCGTGCACGGCGACTACAAAATCGACAACATGATCTTCCACAAGACGGAGCCCCGCGTCATCGGAATCCTAGACTGGGAAATGGCCACGGTCGGGCACCCGCTGTCGGACTTTTGCAACCTAACCAGTCCCTACATAATGGAAGGCGCCGACTCGCAGCTGGAACAATTCAAACCAGGCGTGCTGGCCGGGCTGCCCACCCGTGCGGACTGCATTCGCTGGTACGCCGAGGTATCCGGGTACGACACTCGAGGGGATATCGCCTGGGGGGGATGCGTTCTTTGCTTTCCGGGGATCCGTGATTATGCAGGGCATAGCGGCCCGGTTTGCGGGGCGGCAGGCCAGTAGTGCGCGGGCAGGCGATTATGCGAAACGAGCGAAGCCATTTGCGTTGGGGGCTTGGGAGAGGGTGAAGCGGGTGCAGGAGCAGGGTACCAAGGGGAAGTTGTGATAGAATCACTTGACATTAACATTTACTGGAAGTACAGATAGTGCCAATAGTGCCATTAGTGCCAAATAAACTCTGTATATACAAGAGAAAGTTGAAGCCTAACAGTGTAAGCACTTAACCCCATTCGGTCTTCATATGCAGAGAAATCACGACGTGGCGAAGGCGCTCTCGGGCCTTTATAGAGTGCAACGGCGAGTTATGATTGGTCGAGACAAGGTCTGCGGCTCTACGCGTACGTGAGGCTGAGGGGTTGAAGAACCCACTTTACAATACGATACACCCGTGGTCCTATTTTTACTCGGGGATGCGGCTGAGGATAGGGGAACACTACAACTCACTCATGCATGTCCAAGTATAGTACTGTATGCACACATAGGCTGGCTAGACTGAAACGTGGATCTGCTTGACAGCGCGTTGGCAGATCATGAAGAGGGGGTGCGTTAAAAGTACGTTACCTGAAACCACGAACGGAGCCATCATCAAGCCCCCTGTGGGGCCGGTTGTTGACTCCGGAGTAGCGGTGGGGATGATCGAGTTGAATCCCGTGAATCCCGAGAGGGGAAGGGGGTTTAGGAGGAATAGTAAGAAAAGGTAAAGAGAGTATGTGTGTGTGAGAGAGAAAGAGGATATGTAGGAAGAAAGAGGGGATATGTAAGATAACTACATGAGTACACCTGGGCAGCAAGTACAAAAAAGTCGGGATATAGAATAGATTACCTTACCATACCATACCATGCGGCTCACCTCTCCCCCCAAGTTCCTATTCTCCTTTCTCCTTTTGCTTTTCTCTTTTTCTTTCCCTTTTTTTCTTTTTTTTCCCTTTCTTTTTCTTTTTCTTTTTCTGTTCTTCTTTCTGCTTTCTGCGTCATTCTGTTCCTCACGTGGAACTTCCAAGGAGCCTCTGACTTCAGTCTGGTCTGGTCTGGGACCTTAGCCTCTTTTCCTCACCTTCCCTTATTTTTGCTTTTTGCTCTAGCTCTTGACTTTGCCTCTGTACTTCGCTTTGATCCTCGGACACCCTGTCCTACCTGGCAGATGGCGTCGTGACTTCGGATCACTTGAGCCTCACGGGACCCATCAACTACCCGCTCTCACCTTTCCGGGTAAGTTCATTCCACTTCATCTCTCTCTAGCTCTACACCTTTCTGCCTTTCTGCATTTCTGCACCTCTACACTTTTGCACTTCGCTCTTTTCTTCTGCCATGCCTGGCCTGTTCTTGTTTTGTTTCTATTTTCTGTCCTCGGATAATCCTCTGTCCGTAACCCCTCATCTCCCATCCCAACTTGTCAGGTCCCTTCCCTACTCTTTCCTCCGATATTCGGACTGTATCTTTTCTTTTTCGGTAATTCCTATATCTAACCATCGATAGGCAATTCTGATGTGTGACCACCAATCACAAGTATAAAAGTGCTGATGCACTTCATTGATGACGTCCGACATGTATGACTCGGATGATGCCTACAATAGGTCGCCAGGCTTAGAGGCGACAAAGGTCAATTATGGAGACAATCCATCACCACCGCCATTTGTCCCAACCGACCCCAAAGATGGCGCGACGGGTCCCCGTAAGCCCGCGCCAGAGAATCAGACCTCAACCCGTGAGGGCGACCGAGTGCTGATGGGGTTTCTAGCACCGAACCACCCCGAAATCGCCATCTCTGCTAGGGACACTCCGCTGGATTTAGATCGCAAAAGTCAAAAGCAACCGTCAGACTTTGATCCGAGGAAATTAAATCCTTTAAATCCTTTAAATCCTTTCGCAAAGACTGAGAAGGAGATCACGGAAAAGCCGACCCTGGCTCCGATCCCAGAGAAAGAGGAATTGAGAAAACGCCTTCCGTCAATCAGTGAACGTGCGGCGGAATTGCCTTTCAGCAAGACACCGCCAGAGATCAAGTCCCGACTGCCATCATTACAACCGATCCAAGCATCGCCAGGGTCCTGCGCAAACTCCCCAGAAAGCAGTCAAACCCTGCCTTCAATCCGCGAAACGCTCAGTGCATTGACAGACTTTGGCCCACACCCTCCACACCCATCACGCCCATTTTCATCATGTCCGACATCAACAACATCAGGAAATGACTCGCCTTACGATCGACCATTCCCGGCCAAGTTTCCCATTCCCGCGAGCCCTTACTCTCACTACTCGCCCGTGAGCATGAAAGACTCCTCTACCAACCCTTCTCCGGCCTCGCATGCGGTTTTCTGGCGCGGTCCCACTCAGACAGATATTCTAACAGCTCCAACCCCGTATGAGGCTTCTCCAATGACAGCCACGAGTCCTACCAGCTATCCTACACCGACTGAACCGGTTGGGACAGGAATGAGTGATCGTGTCTCACTCGCTGCGTCGACTCCTCAGGCCAATGGGGGGCCGACGGGTAGTTACAAGTGCACTCATCCGGGTTGTACTGCCGCACCTTTCCAAACACAATATCTCCTCAAGTAAGAGCACAAAGAAACAGAAAGAACCCCTCTAACAAATACCAGCTCCCACGCCAATGTGCACTCCCAAGATCGACCCCATTTCTGCCCAGTAGAGGGCTGCCCACGCGCCCTCGGAGGTAAAGGCTTCAAGCGCAAAAATGAAATGATGCGCCACGGTCTCGTCCACAACTCTCCGGGCTATGTGTGTCCCTTCTGTCCAGACCAACAACACAAATACCCTCGACCCGACAATCTTCAACGGTTCGTACTCCGAGCCTCAATCTGACATCAGCCCAACTGACACTCTTAGACATGTCCGTGTACACCACGTCGACAAGAACAAAGACGATCCAATTCTGAGACAGGTTCTCGCCCAAAGGCCTATTGGCAGTGCCCGTGGCCGAAAACGAAGGATGAACAATACTTGACATCTTCGTTTCTATTCTTTCATTATTCTTTGATTTGTCATTTCCTTCTTGTTCCTATTTTTGATCTCTACCAGTCCGGTGTACCCTTTACCCCTCCCATCACCTTGTACCTGTGTATCCCGGATGTCTCGAACAAGCGCCTCAGTATGACACAGCATGCAACCCTGGCGTTTTGTGTTTTATTTACCTCCATTACCATCACCATTACCACCTATCACTTCCTTACATCTCCCTTTTTCTCTCTCTCCCTCCTTCTCTCTCTATCTATCTACCTTACGCGTGACGACCTTCCTCAGCCGTGATACCTTTCTGCTGTTTATCTTTATTAGTATCCTTTTATCCTTTGGTTCTTCTGCAATGATACCATCCGTTGTCCATTGTTAGAAATTCATGATATTACATGGGCCATTCGTTTATTCGGGGTGTCGTGTTCATTTACTATCTTTTACTTGTCTATAACTTATATCTTGTCTGATCAATTGCATTGGGTTGCCTTTCTTCTACATTCGCTTTCGATGTCTTTGCGTGCTTAGAAGGGAAGGGAGAGAGGTTTGGAGGGGTTTCATGTTGATCATTCCCGAAGTGTCTTTTCTTCAGGATTCAAGTGGGTTCCGCGAAGCGTGGAAATACGAAGGGTTCAAGAACAGGCCAGTGAGCCAATGAGGTTGAAAAAGACCTCTGCGTCTATGAGAAGTCTGATCAAGGCACTAGCAAAAGAACCCCCCCGAAGCTTTTATAAGGCCCGTCACAGCTGGACCGAATATGGGTCTACAGTATACATATGTACACTCGCTTGATACGCATTGCACGACTTAATTGTTTAATTGGGACTAGAACGACGAATTTCAATTATTATAGTGAAAGACTATACGGAGACTAGACCATACACGCTCCGGTACGTTATGGCCCACAGTAACGTGACGATATAAGAACGAAGAAAAGACTGGATTATAGAGAGAATAAAGGCAGATAGAAGGTGGAAGGCCGAAAGTGCATTTCAATGAAAGAGGTCTACAGGAAGCAAATAACAAAAATCAAACGAAGTATCGACAAATAAATTGCATTTTCGCCAGGGTTATAAGGACCACAGCCAGCATCGCCCACCATTGAGATAACAATAACAACTACCAAAAACCAGGTATATCGGCAACAAGAAAAGAAGACTAACCAACAACACAATACCAAGAAAAAGATCCATACAATCGCTGGCATCATAAAAAAACAAGATCAAGTGAGAAAAAGCTAGCTAAAGAGAATCATATCGTTGCCTTAAAGGCACATTCAAGAAAAAGAGAGCAAACATAAACATATCAAGAAGACATCGTACCGTGACAAAGAGATCATCATATCAACACGGAGAACACTCGTTTTGTACATGTCGTAAGGTCGGGATAAACAGAATGAAAGGGGGAAGGGGGAATTGAACGCATGAAATCGAATCGTAGAGTATGATTAGGTGAACTCCACACCATGCGCTTGCTGCCTTTCTTGGCGGGTACGGGCTCGCTCGGCACGTCTGCGACGGCGGTTATTCGCGTATGAACCGCTGACGTCGGTGCCTGTATATGTAGGGGAGGTGATACTACCGGGGCCGTAGGGCATGCTCGAAGGTGCAGGGTTGGGGATAGGAGGGGGCGGCGGCATTAGGCTGACTTGGGATTGGGGCGCTGCCCATGAGGATGAGGGGGCCATAGTTGCTTGTGGGGGAGCGAGGGGGGCAACGCCTGCAGCGGCTTGTTGGCGTCGTGTTTCCGCGTCCTGTCGGCGTTCCATTTCTTCGACGCGGCGCCAGCGATCATCATGGGCGTCTTCGTGGCCGGATAGGGAGCCTATACTGCTGTTGCGACGGCGAGAGTGGCGTCTTTCTCTGCGGCGGGCTTCGCGACTTGCCGCTGCTTCTTCTTCTGTCAGTCGGCGAAGGGTTACATGTCGTCCATCGTTGTGCATCTTGACTTTGACAGATACTGGTGGTGACTCGACATGATCATCGCGGTGTCGGCTGTTGCTTCGGCTGTGGCGAGAGGCTGCTCCGAGTGCTGCTCCGGCGGCAACAGGTGCAGCTAGCTCTGTTGCATCGTGGGAAAGACGGGAGTGACGAGAGGGGGGACGTTCAGGCCGCAAGTCACCCGAGAATTGTTGGTGAGCTGGCGGCATCGGGGGTGGCATATCTGAGACCATGCTACTATGAACAGCGCCGGATGCCATAGGCTCAGCAGTGAGGAGAGACTCCCCATGTGATGCATGTCGAGGGGGGCGGGTCAGGTCTGTTTCAGTGAGATCGCTTTCAGAGTACGAGCTGGTCCTTCTTCTTGGGTAGAAGCTTCCTTCTCCCTGAGGACGTCGTTTGCTGTTTGCTCTTTGTAATGATTCATCAATGTCGTCTCGGCGGCGAACCTCCTCCAACCGTTGTTTCTCTTCATCTTCCTTGTTGCCACGGCTAAACAATTTCTTCACGGCAGCAAAAGCACCGACGCCCAAAACCGCATCTTTGATGCCAGATGACCTCCGCCTGGGTGGCTCGGTGAAGTATGTACTGTTGTAATAGTAAGATGAGCCCGGGCTCTGCGATCTGCTCGGCGGACGGCTCGGCGGTCGATTAAGTGGCGTTCGATGGCTTGGCTCTGGTCGGCCATCTTCCATCCTGCTAAGCGACTCGTCTGTGTAGCTATGAGTGCGCGAGTGAGGAGCGGGTCTATACCGACCTGACTCGGCATCATCTTCACGCTTCTTTCGACGATCCCACCACTTCTTGGCCAAAAGACCAGCCCCGGCTAATGCGCCAATTTCGAAGAGTTTCTTACCGAAACCACCACCATGGTGCGAAGGTTCATTTGAGTATTTCTCATCCGAAACAGAGGTGCGGGACTCCTCGTAGACCTGACTGGCGTGGCGACTGCGAGGACGTCGTCGGAACATAGAAGCCAGGCCAGCGGCCATAGCACCACCAGCGAGTGCTTCACCCACATGTCCACCCCCATGGTGTTCCGAGACCTCTGACGGTCCAGTGTAATGACTATGACCACCGCCATGTTCACTCCCCATATGATATCCTTCGGTATCATACCGATAAGAGAGTATAAAGTAAGCAACCAGGTAGGCAAAGGCGGCAAGAGCGAACAAGATGAAAAGGACCTTGGGCGAGCCGTAAAGTGTAAGTCCCAATGGGATCTGAACAATGCCCAGGATGACGAGGGCACGGCCCATCCACCGGTGAAACTAATACATGTTAGATCGAAACTTCACTTCTTTTCAATTAGTTACTTACCACCAGCTTCAAGGGGACATGAACTCGTTGTCTTTTGCTCTCCACCTTGTGCACGAACCAGCCCCAGAGCACCTGGAAAATAACCAAAACGTAGATTGCCAGGCCAATTCCATGGTGAGGGTTGGTCAGGCTTCTTTCTGGCCCGACAGCAAACCATCCAAGCACAAACACGACAGTGCTCAAGAGCAGAGTCAGCGCCTGACCCCAGGCGTGCAATTTAAATGCCCAGTATGGGTTCCATCGGGAGTAGTATCGAATTATTAGGGTTGATATGGGCACGATGCCCAAGAAAACGATTGCTGCAATAACGCCGTGCGCGATGATAATGGAATGGTACCCGGCCATATCTTTGAAACGATTGCCCATGCCTGAAATAAGTTAGTAACAAATTAAAGAAACAAAGGGATTATAAGAATATATAATGTTTCCAACTAACCATTGTATCGCATCGTCTCAAAATTGACGCCCATCAAATTGGGTAGCAAGAAGGTATCTCGCCCCGAGTCCCAGGTGCCATCTCCAACATGTAGGGTGTTTGACGAGTATGTGTTACTCCCCGCAGCGGCGAGGTCTGAGACTGACATTTTGCGTCGGATTCTTCGAATACCACGCGATCTTCAATCTGGAATGTCGGAGTTACCGAAGGAGATCTGTCGGGATCCCCCGATCTGAAGAATGCACCATGCGACAGCGGGTTCGGAAGTGAAACTGGAATGCTAAATGGCAAGTGGCCGATGAATTGTGTATTGTTCAATCAATAGGCTCGGAATACGGTGTTTCACAAGACCTAGGTAGGGAGGTCGAGGTGGACAAGAGGTCGAGAAGCGTAAGGAGAGGTAGGAAAAGAAGTGCTTTAGGGTAAAAATGTGAAGCCCGATAAGATTGGAAATATGGCCGTCTGAACAAGACCGTAAGTACAAGGAAGGAAGGAATCACAACAGGTCTGGAGAGCTGACCGAATCCCCAGTCAACTGTTTGCCATTTGGGGTTTAGCGTGACAACACATAACCCGGACAACCACTGCTGACTCAGCCACAGAAACTGACCGCCTTCCTGATCGGACATATCTTATCAGCTGATCTTATCATTGCGTGCTGAACACGCCAACTTCGTCAAGTCTCCTCCCTGTGTCTCCCCTCTTCTTCTCTTCTCTTTTTCCAGGGATGACGTCCTAGACTGATCCAACATGACCTCTCAGATTGAGGTGTTCATTAAAGCCCTCTCCCGGTTCGTCGCCTCTCTATCTGCTATAGAGACATAACTAACCTTCATAGGCTCCTAGGGTGGGCATAGTGAGTTCCGCATCCCTCCGACCTGCACCGGATCACAACTGACTCAAACACAGCATGCTCTGTTGGTCTGGGTCTTTCTATCCCCAACCCCTCACCAATATCAAACGCAAGTCTACGGTCGGCTTATCGATTGATCTATCCACAATCAATCCATTGGGTTTCGTCTGCTATGCGATATACACCGGTGCGTTCCTATACTCGCCCATGATCCGCGCGCAGTATGCCGCTCGACACCCGGCGGCTGAGGAGCCGACAGTCCGGTTCAATGACTTTGCATTTGCGGCCCACGCGGTGCTGTTGACTGTGATCATGTATACGCAGTTCTGGCCTTTCATCTGGGGTCTGCATGTGTCCCGCTTTCAGAGGATTAGCTGGCTAATGGCGGGTCTCTTCTGGGGATCTGTTCTGGCTCCTTTGATGGTTATGTGGATTGTGTTAGCGCGTAGCCCGGATGGGGGTTATGATCCTTCATCCTGGGCGTGGATTGACGTGGTAAGTGAAGAGATGTTGAGTAGAGATATCGCACTCCGATGATTTGGAAAAGGAGAGAAACCTAATATGCAACCAGATCTACTCGTTCTCATATGTCAAACTTCTTATCACCATTGTGAAGTATATGCCGCAGGTGTGGTTGAACTACCAGCGCAAGTCAACGGTGGGTTGGAGTATAGGGACCATTTTGCTGGATTTGGCTGGCGGTGTTCTTTCAATGGTTCAACTGGTACTCGACTCCAGTCTCCAAAGTGACTGGAGCGGTATCACCGGTAACCCGGTTAAGCTGCTGCTCGGCAACGTTACCATCTTCTTCGATGCGATCTTCGTGATCCAACACTATGTCTTGTACCGGGACGACTCGAAAAGAACCCCTGGCCCGGGCGTGCGGACACCCCTCCTGGTCGGGCAAGACGACACTGTGAGAGCCCAGGCGTGAAGTTAGTCATACATGGGGGCCGAATTCAAGGCATGGAGCATTTCTCTATTTTTGTAGCGTTGTTTTGAGACATGGGGGCGGGTTTCCGATCCCCGTCTCACATCAAGACCTTGGCGATCCAAGGCGTTTCTATAAGGCTAGGCTATAGATGTATAATGATTTGAGACACGAAGATTGCAAGGTCGAGCGAGATCCAGCGAGAAGGAGTACAGAGTGCATAAGAGGCTTGAAGTAAGACACCGCTACTCAGATTTGGGGGCCCCCAACATCTGCCCCTCCACAGCACAATATAATTGGTCCAGCACAGGGATAAGCACAAAGTACTCTTCTTCATCCAATCACTTCACTCAATACGGCGTTGCCGAGTTCCGTCGACGGTTCTGACCGTCGGTGTCGGGTTTTGGGGCTCTAGGCACTGCCATAGCTGAGCCAAGTCCGCAGTCCTATCCATTTTCGATCATTCTTCTTCTTCATTCTCCCTCGTTATGCACCATGAGTGGCCCGCGCCGTTGCCTTCTTCAAGAAGTGATCGCCGTACCTTGATAAAAATATGTGAATCATTTCATACCCCAGCGCCTTACGCGTGTTGCGTATGAGAAATCAGAATACCACCTTTCCTTGAACGTAACGTTGAAGCTGACTGAGGGAAATTTGGAAGCAAAGTGTATAACTTCATGATGGATTTATAATGGAGTACAAACATGAGGTCGCCACGTTTCATGAATAGCGTGTTACACTAGAGGTACAAATAACACATAAGGCTGTGAAGGCTGAGCTACGATCAACCCGAAGAGTTGGGCGTCGCATGGCTTTGCCTGGGGGCCAATAAGCGATGAAAGTAGTACAGACCCTGTCCAAGATCGTAATGATACCCTATGGAAATGCCACTCCCGTCATCTATCAGCCCTAATGCCGTTAGTAAAGCGCACCGTACTTCTACAAATGGGAGACTAGTCTATGCAAGCCCCATGGATCATCGCTGCCAAGGACTATGCCCGCAAGCCCATGTTTGTGATTCAGAATGATTCAACATCAGATTTGGGGATAAGCTGTATTATCAGTACTATCTGAAGTACCTGCAGATCCATCTCAAATTCCTATGCGGAACGCCTGGTTGTTAGGATTACAGCACTGCCTCACGCTGTTTATACGCCATAAATATAGCTGCATCTGCTGGATACGAGCCTCTTCGATCCCCAGGAGAACCTTATAACACTTAGGGTTGTCTTCTAACTCAGACTCTACGCCTGACCACGTTTCTTTCGTCTTTCTTTTACAAGCTAACTGTATGAGGGCGCTTCCCTCCACATCCATCTACTTCACGGCCGAAGTTCTCTCAGCCCTACCACTCCCAGAACTCTTCCATCATTGCCTCTCGATCACCATGTCCAACCTGTATTCTCGTAATCAAAAACCAAACAGCATGTATCCCACTGTGCCTGACAGAGGCCGGGAGTTAGAGCCATACATGGTGGGCCTAACAGGCCACCCTGAACTCAACCCTCACCTCTCCTCTGGCATGAAACCGCTAGACTTTATGGACACACCAGCCCCACGAATGTTCCTCGCACCGAAAAACTATTCCTCAACCCGACGAGGCTCATGTTGTAGCGATACACTGGGCTCACAATACGCATGGTCCACAGCCTCCAACGCAGATCTACTTGCAACCTCCCCAGCTCTATCCTCGCTCGAGCCCTCGGCCTGCTCAGGACCAACCTCTCCCTACATGCAGAGCTACTACCCATCGGGCCATATGCAGCCCGCTATAAACACGCCCGATATGTCAACCTATAGCCCCCAGCAAATCAACAAATGGTGCATCGAGACCAACCCCACCGGCGACTTCTACTCTTCCTACCAAGCAATAAACCCAGGTGCCATGCCCTACACACACACTACAGATGTTCAATCAGACCCTTTCGCCCACAGTAACTCCCTGAGCACAGCAAACGACTGGCTCTCAATGCCAGCCTTCACAGACCCAATCCCAATTCCAGAATCCTTCTTCCCAGTCTCAATCTCGCAACCTCAATCCCAACAACTCATCCCCTCATCATCATCATCAACAACAACAACAACTACTACTACTACTACTACTTCAAATACCTCCTCCACAGGAACACGCCCCTCCCCAACCCGCTCCTTCTCTGACAATCCCTCCCCACCAAGCAGCACAAGCGACCTAACACACTACGGAACCCCAACAGCAGACGGAGCCTGGCGGTGCGCACACCCGGGCTGTTCCTCGCAGGCTGTATTCCGACGTGGATGTGATCTGCGGAAGCATTTCAATCGGCATCGGAAGTATCTCTTCTGTCGGCATGAGGGGTGTCCGCAGGCTGTGCATAATGGGTTTTCTAGTAAGAAGGATCGCGCGAGGCATGAGGCTAAGCATAATCCTGGGATTGTTTGTGAGGCTGTGGGTTGTGGGCGGGTTTTTAGTCGGGTTGATAATATGAAAGATCACGTTAGAAGGATTCATCGGAGGGGGTGATGGGAGGTGAGATGGTGGGATTTACTCTGGGTATGGTTATGGATATGATGGTGACGACGTCATGGGATATATGTTGTATTTCTTGATTTGTTTTTCCTTTTGTTTTCTTTTCCTTTTCTTTGGATTTCGCTTGTACTATAAGTGGGAATGGGTCGGGTAAGGCGAATTGGGAAGGGTTGCGTCTCCTCCCGGTGAGGGTTGACTTGCTAAAAACATACTGGAGGCATATGATAAAGGGATTAGGGCTCGTCTGTTTAGAATGAGAATTGATGTCCCCCGTGTGGGGTTCCTGCGTTGATTAGGTGCTTAGTGCTGAAAGATAAATAGGAACAAAAAATCCCTGACAAATTAAATAAAAACTAAAATTACAAGGCTTGCTAGAGGGAAATATCACTTATTGTCTTAGTGGCGGCCGGAAGCCCTAAATCCACTAGACTATACGCATATATCGAGTCGAACTCCGCTACAGTCACTCATCTCTGTTCCTCACCTCTCTTCCGGTTTTCTTTTCTTTTTTCGATCACCTCAATAGCCTGCTAAAATGGCATCTGCAGTTGACTCTTAGCACGGTTTTCCGGGTAGACGGCATCGTGGCCGTCATTACCGGAGGAGGCAAGTGGTCAGTGGAGTCCACCACCATTGTCGAAGGGATTTTGCTAAACAATTTGTCCCACTGGGTATTGGGCTTACTATGTCACGGGCTCTTGCAGCCAACGGCGCGCAGAAGGTCTATGTTCTAGGACGTCGACTGGAAGTGCTAGAGAAGGCAGCCGAGGAGTACCCACATAGTCCCAGTCCAAGCCGATGTGACATCCAAGACTGGCCTTCAAGCCGCAGTGGACCACATTAAAAATGAAGTCGGCTATGTCAACCTCGTCGTCGCCAATTCGGGCAACATCGGACCCGCGGTGCGCTTTAGTCCCAGTGCATCGATTTCCGAGCTGCGCGAGACCCTCTTTGCCAACTTTCCCCGGACGAAATGAACGACGCTCTAGCTCTTAACATCACCGGGCCTTCTTTACCATGACGGCTTTCCTGGAGCTGCTCGACGCTGGTACCCAGAATGCCTTACAGGGCGGCTTCGGCAAGCCCGCCAAGGAGGGTAGGTGTATAACTTAGAACCGTAGGGTATAGCTTATACACCATTGCATAAAAAACGCTTTTGTGGTCATTACAATGTTCTAGTAAATCTGCCTTGTCTTTTTATACTTTGGTTTTTGGTTTTGCATGATGCATGATTCTGGCTTTGGAGGGTTTAGCTTCTAGATCCGCCTCGCATAAACTGATCTTAGTAGGAGTAGCAGCAAGGTGAAACTGATTGAAAAGATTGAAAAAAAAAGGAAAAAAAAGGAAAAATAAAAAGAAAGAAAGAAAAAAAGAAAGAAAGAAAGAAAGAAAGAAAACGTTAACAGCCAGGGTCACAGCCAAGGTCAAGTAAAGGTAAAATTTGAAAAGCCACTCGAGCTCGCGCCTTGAAAGCCATTGTAGCCGGTGTGACCATGCAAAGTGTAGTTTGTCGACGAAGGGCTTCCTGGGCAGGAAGTATTGATAGAAGAACCCACAGATGCTTGATTTGGAGTCCCAGTAATATCAGCCTCATTCTCCTTCCGAGATGTCGCAATCAAACTAGCAATGAGAGTCTGAATGTGTTCATAGCCCGCGTCCAATCGACCACTGAACTTAGCCATGTTGAAATGATTAGCTTCAATACTGCAATTCTTATAGCCTCTAAGGACTGCAGAGTCCTCTTCAACAATCCTGCCCACCGCGTCATTTATCTGCTTGGCCTCGTAGAAACAAAAGACCTCCAAAGAGATATCCCCCCGACGAAGCATAGACTGAAATCCAGTCCCAACTCTTTGCAGGTCGTTCGGCCCAGGATTTGTCCCCACAGTCTCTTTTTTGGCTATATGAGAGGCTTTTATATACCTTGTGAGCCTCTCGCCATGAAATGCTAATGATGAACCGTGGTGCGGAGTTCCCATGAAGATAATGCCAACAGCATAATTTGAGATTTGCCAGAGACCATCAACCTGAGTACTGAGTATAAGCGCTTGCTGGCATACAAGACCGCCAAAGCCATGTGCAATAAATAAGATGGGTCTTGTAGGGAAGTTTTCTCTTTGGCTGACAAGCGCATAGGCCAGTGATTGGCCGTGGTCGTATAATCGATTTGAGGAAGAAATTGTCGAGAGTCCAGCGACATCGACATCGTATCCAAAGGTCATGATACGTGCAGCAGGGAAGTCTCCGACCAGGAGGTCTTGGGGCCAGCAAGTGCCCTTTTTATGCGTCCATGTTGTCTCGCGGTTGCCAGTTAATCCATGGACAAAGACAATACTAGTCAATGTCAGTATCATTATTTTGTTTGGTCTCTGTGAACTCACTCCAGGCCGGAATTGGACGGATCAGAGAGTATTTTCATGCCTATAGCACCCTCTGTAGAGAACCTGTGTGTTGTGAGCTTATTCTATGGTCAGTTCTGGGAATACTTACAGATTCTGATCCGTCGAGCTTCTCCGCAGTCTATCCTTGATGGCCTTCATACTGTTGTGATAGAAGAACAGAGTTATCAATCTATAGTTTCAGATACTAATAAAAAGATGAAGCAGGAAGACGAATGAGCGAGGGATGAGATGGGTTCGTTCATCGCCTGGATGGTGCCCAGCTTAATATACAACCTATACAACCCTGTCTGAAACCGAGACCCCGCTTCTTAAAATGTCAACGAAGATTCCCACGTCCGTATCAGAATCTAAGCGAAAATTACACGGGAAATCTCTTGTGGCTGTCAACGAGCATTTCTGTGAGTATATCTCGAGCCCCAATGTTGTGACATGCCCAGACACAGACCAGAAGACTCCATATCCCCTCCCCATCTAAGACGCTATAGGCTCTGCAAGGCGTTGTACAGTTTTACCTCGCCCAGAACGCATTGGACGAAGGGGACGGATATACTTGAGGAAATCCACAGATGTGCTAAATAGGATGACAGGTCCGGATCATCCCGAGAGCATGCAAGGTATGATGCTTCTTGTCGAGTATAGAGGGGTAGGAAAAGGTCCTGTGAGCCAATCTACTGGGTTTTAGCAAAAGGGTTTGAATGATTATTGATTCAAATGATTAATGCTATTACATTCTTTTCCCACTGACTTTCATGATACCTCGAAGTTTTGACAATCAAAATCAAACAATAGCAACAACAACAAAGGGCCTCTCAGGAATACATATACATCATACCCATGACTCATGACTCAATGTTCAAACACAAACATATCTCGAAGGAAAACAAAAGCATTACACAAACAGATGATCATAGACATAACATATGCAAACAAGTATCGGAATTGGCTCAAACGTATCCCTTGGTCTGCATGTCCTTTCAATCTTGCCTGATGCCATGGGCTCTTCGCAATTTGGCACTCAGTTGGAGTTGTTGGGTACAAACCTCACACCACCACCGGTAATGAGTCTCAGTCCACGTTTGGCCATTGCTCGAATGACGACAGAGACAAACGTTGAAAACAGAAGCTTGACAAAGTAGATGATTGCAGCACCGATGCGAGTATTTTCCAGAAGTTGGAGGGCATAGAAGAAGACACCCACAGGCATGATGATCAAAATCGCGGGAAGGATGATGCAGAACTGGCAAAGGACTTCATCAAGGGGCGGCTGAAAGGCAAGTTGTTCAAGTTCAGGTGCAAAGCGAGGCATCTTGCCCTCCGATAGAGTCGCTTGGGACACGATGGTGGCAATCACATACTTTAGGTCCTTCCGGGGAGAGCTAGCCGGTTGTTCTCGAGGTCTGTAAATTGCAATTAAGAACGCCATAGAACGAGGGACCTTTTTCTTAGTTTTTCCTGTGCTCTTTGGCTCATCAGCGATGAGAGTGCCTGCTGCGTTTCCCGAATAGTCATTAAATGTTGCATTTGGTAGACTTGAATGGAACGGAGGACGCATGCCAGGCTGATCCCGGGTCCGGGATGCCTGGGCCGAGGCCATATTCATGGGGCTGTGTGGCGGAGAGACTCGATGAGGGGTTGCACGACGGATAACCTTCCACCTACCATGTTGCTTCTGCCGAGAGGATGCGAGATGGTCCTGCTTTCGTTCAACCGAGGGCAGCGGGCGTTGTGCTGGTGAAGGCGGGATCGGAGAACTAGCAGGAGAAAAACGAACGGATCGCGGCGCCGAGCCAGGGTTGCCAGATTTCTTGAGAGAGCTGACATTTGGGGCTGGGTGATGGTTTGCTAGAGCAGCGATGGGAGGCTTGAGTAATTGTTGCTGATCGCTCAAAAGACGCACTTTTGTAGGTGTTGGCGATTGACTACTATCACGTCCACCAAAGACAGAGTGTCCCTTGGGCGAGTCTGCCTCGGGCGAATCTTGAAAGCAGTCGTAGTTAAACTCCTCGGTATTCGGCATATCATTCAGGTGTAAGTACTCGGTGGCATGAGGCACCACGGGTTCTTCGTTGCTGTCGTTTTCACTGTTTGGTGTAGAGGTCCGTTGGGGGTTCGCTGGTTCACCAACGTTGTCGAGGATGTACTTGTCTGTAGCTGCATCCAGAACCAATCGAGGAAAGTATCGTCTGGCATTTAAGCCAAGCGAGGCTTCCTGAAGTCCTCTGAACCCATGCTCTTGCTTCAGACTTGGCTTTTTGGTCATCATCGTGTCAGCTGGTCCATCGAGCCCGAAAGCAGTGAAAGTAGCAAAGGATGGTGAAAAGAGATTCAGATGGGAGCCAGTTGTGACTGGGGTATTGGAAGTGACGGGTACAAGAGAGGATGCAAACAGATCACGAGAGTCAGAGGTGACTCGAGTATCTGCAGTGGAGGTAAACGAAGGTGAAAACAGGTGAGAGTCAGTGAGTCGAGTATCCACGACGCCCAAAGGATCAGACTTGATTAACCTGGCAGAAGGCATGTTGGTGCGAAGGAGGGAGAGAGAAAGAGACAGACGAGATCGCCCGGAAGAGAGAAATAGATGGTGTCCCAATCGGGAAGGTGCACCTTCCTACTATATTTGGAGACCAATGAGGAAAAGAAGAATTGCTATAATTCTACAGATTCAAGGGCAATAATGGTTATGTACAGCAAGTCTATTTGACGAGAGACTGGAGGGTCTCGAGAACCTAATTCAGTCAGCATTTGGCCGGTTCAAAGTCACCACGATTTCATACCTCAAGCTCAACCTTGGCCTCGGCAATGTCCTGCTCGCTGCCGTTGCCGCTAGCGGTCTTCTGGGACTCAGCAATAAGGGCGCGGATGTTCTATAGGGAAAGGATTGTCAGCTGGAATTGCGACATCGCGAAGGAGGATAATCTACCTCGGCGCTGAACTCCTCAAGGCCAAAGATCTCGGAGCTGTTGATGCTGAACTCGTTGTTGGGTTGCATAACGGCAAAACCACCGGCGGCTATTGAGAAACATTGTTATTAGCTGATTTGCTCGCATTCAAGGACCAGATTCTCGGGTGATCCCTAGGTGCGAGGGTCGGACGTACTGAAGAGCTGCTTGGTGGAACCGTTCTCCTCAACAATCTCGATGAGACCGGGCCTCAGCTGCTCAATGGAGGGAACGTGGTTGGAGAGGACACCCATGTCACCGGAGGCGGCGGGAATGTTGACCTGGGTACTGTGATCGCGAAGGTCGGTCAGTATTTAGGTAAAGGGCGAAGACGCCGAGGCGGGCGCAGGTCAATGGATAACATACACGCCAGTAGCCTTGTAGATAGTCTATCGAGCAATAATAAAGTCAGTACTTGTGTTTGGATGGGATGACAAACACGGTTGGTTCACGCACCTGGTGAGGCAGGGTCAGGGACAGCTTAAGGGTGTCGACAGCATCGGCGTAGGTACGTCTGGGGACACGAGCGAGGGGCATAGAGGGGCGGGCAGCCCTCATAGCCGAAAGACCGGAGCGAGCGAGGCGGTTGAAGCTCATTTTGCAAGGGTGGATGACGTGCAAAGGCTGGGTTATCCTTCTTGAAGTTGCAGTGCAAAGACGAAGTCGGAATGCCGGTTGTTCCCTAGCGCCGGGTCACGTGGCACGGGAATCCAACGGCCGAAGTATGGCCAAGTCTGAGCTGTGTTTACTCGTGCTTGCATACCTATTTGCAATGATAATGGGGAAAGGTTCTATTCAATCATCTACCTATATACTCCAGAGTTGGCATTTCCACCACCGGAATGTCTCCAATCAATTACCTTCTGGTGAGGGTAGGTGCCGCGAACAGGGACGGAAGTTCTGGCCACGCTTGACACACAATTCCCAAGATTCAGTCATGATTTTGGGACTTATATGACCATCATATAACCTCTATGATCATGCGAAGGTTCTATGCAGAAGGAGAGATATATCCATTAGGCCGTCACGTGGTATATATCACGTGCTATGGATGGCAGAATAGTGTCAGTGAAAAAGAATCATCTGCTGCAAAGTCCAGCAAAGTCCAGAGGGAAAAAAAAAAAAAAAAAAAGAAAAAGACAAAGTAGTATTAAAAACAACCTAGCAAACAATGATAATCCCTTAGCATATGATATCATTGCAGTATCCTGCTGAAGCCATCTGTCTCTTTACTATGTACACCGCCCGATAAGCGAGATCCCACAAACGGAACGAGCCCTAGCCGAGCCTCTTAGGCCTGACGTCCCAGTTCCCTCTCCTCACCAACCATCCCACCGTCAATCAGCGACAACATCCGTCAAGATGGCCAGTACGTTTCTCCCTCGACCATATGGCTTCTGCTCGCCTGCAAGCCGCCCAGAAAAAAAGAGCGACATCGCTGACATGATTTTCGCCCACAGAGTCCAAGAACGCGTCCCAGCACCACAACAGCCAGAAGGCTCACCGTAACGGGTACGTCTACCCTTCAATATTTCGATGACCCTCTTGCACTTGAACGACACCTTTTGGTCGACATTTACGGGAATGGTGGGAAAATGGGTGCGGGCGAACGATTTTATTCGGTGTGATATTCCGGGGTCACATCTTGAATATTCACTTGGACAAATTCTTCGACCTGCTACCACCTACCACCTACCACCTACCACAACATCTACCAGAACGAATCGCTGATATACCTCTCCGAACAGTATCAAGAAGCCCAAGACCAACCGTTACCCTTCCCTCAAGGGTGTTGACCCCAAGTTCCGCCGCAACCACCGTCACGCTCTCCACGGCACCATGAAGGCCCTCGTACGTTGACCACAACCCGAACCCAACAAAACCATGCATCCATCCATGACAAATACTGACCCATTGAACAGAAGGAGCGCAAGGAGGGCAAGCGCGAGGTCGCATAAATGTCTAACGGAGTCTGAAAAAATGGGAATCATGAAACGCAACTCGAGCGCGCAGGAGGTCCGGTGAACATAAAGTGTGCGACGATCAAGGACGGTCCGCTGTGTCGAATAGGCCTGGTTTCTGCTTATTCCTTGCGCGATGAGTCTCGGGTTGTTTGATATCAAGAAATCAACAGGCTTAATTCGATGTGCACAGCGGTGCCATTTCTAAAGCGGAATATCTTCTGCTATTCTTCTTTTCCCGTCCTTTCCAGCCTCGTGGGCTCGACTGCTGCAGCCCTCGAGCTTAGTTCTCTTTCTCCCTTTCCCTTTTCCCCATTCCCCCACTCTCCGGCATATGTGTGTACAGCTGCGTGCCTTTCTCATGCGCGATTGCTGAAGGATTTTTCTTTACGTGCCAAGAACGAATCCCAGACCCTCCTCGATTACATACCCTGTCTTGATGCTTCTCGAAAGAGACAGGGTTCGTGGTTAGGAGGGTTACATCTCGTAGCAGTAACAGTTGTTTGTTTTATGTCTCAATAACCTTCTTCTACTCAATTACACATTCGGTATCATATGTCAATTTTCCTAGCCGTAATGCGACAAAGATCCTGAATATACCTCCAGCATCTATACCTTCCAAACAACCAAACGCCTATCAAACCCACCACTAATAACCCATTCCTCCTGAACTAGCTCACCATCTCCCCTCGACACAGAAACATACCCAGACCAAACAGTCCGCACCTTACAACCGGGCTCATGACCCCCCTTAAGCTTAGCAATAACCTTACCCGTCTTGGTCTCAATGCCCCGAACAACGCCATCATCCCCATTAACCCAAACCCCAGACCCATCCGGTCTCCACGCGACCTGTGGGGTCGAGTAAGCAGTCTGCGAAGCGAAGGTATTCGCCTGCACGAGGATAGCAGCGTCCTCGCGATTTGCCAATGCCAGAGCCTCCATAGCCTGAGAAGCCTGCGTGACTGGATCCGCTGGATCTGAACCATTTTCCGTGTCTGATTTGCCCAATGATGGGAAGAGCAGACGTACAATGATAACTTTCAAATGGGGTAGTGTCGACGTAGCCACTGCTAGGAGGCCCGGGTCGTGCGGACTGAGAGCCATATGGGCTGGCGAGAAAGCAACCCAGGCATTGGAATGAGGCGCTAGATTTTGATATCCGAGAAATTGACAATTGCGCGGAGAGGTGAGAGAGGCGGCTTGCTCGGCTGTTTCTTCCACCTGGTAGTAATGGATGTAAGTTGAATCTCTGCGCGAGACGAGGAGAAGTAGTTCGTTTGTATCGATATGAGGTACGAATAGAAGCGATTCTGGGTTCGATGCGAGCTTGATGCGAGCGACGGGTTCGCCGATTTTGAGGGTTGGTGCGTTTGCCTCGTCTGGGATGTTGAGGCTGTATAGCACGACTGTCTCGTCCCATCCAGCGGTAGCGATCCACCACTTGGAAGGTTCTTTCCTGTCTTCATAGGCTACCGCTTTGACGGCATATTTCCCATGGTCCTTCCTGCTGTCTAGGAGTTGGGTACCATGCTGGAGAAGGATTTGACCGGACATATTTGTCAAGAGGATGTATCGGCCTTGAAGGATCGAAACGAACGAGAGAACAGGTGCACTTGATAGCTCAGAGAAGGATCTGACAGCTGCATTGCTCCCTGCGGTTTCGAGTACATGCACTTGTTTATCAGCGCCAGTAGAGATGATATAGGATTGCGCTGATGTAACCGCGCCTTCATCAGCGTCCTCGCAAGGCTTCTGCCATTGATCTACCGACGCAGCAAGTAGATTTGATGATGTCTGGATAACAGCAGGTTTTGACGGTGCTAATATTGTCAGCGATAGAACGAAATACAACATCTAAATCCAGACACGCAAAGCTTTGCAACACGAAAGGAACTCACCTGGGTCACTCCACAAACCAGTCTCTTGACTATCATCTCCATATCGTTCAAAGTTGACGCTTTGATCATAAGTTTGCTTCTCTTCGAGCAAGCTTTGAATGGTCCAGTTATTGGTGTCGCCGCCGGAGGTCTGCCCCACGTCGGGAGCAAGGCCAGCCTCGCGGATAAAAGCCTTTAATGTTTCTGTGTGGTCATTTGTGCGCAAAAATCGAGCAACCAGAGCATTTGCTAATGCATCTACTGTCGCGGAGGGAGCCATACTTGCATTTGATGCCGGGGGAAGTTAGCTGCGGTTGAGAAATGATTAGTTGTCCGTGGCGCAGACCCTGCGACGCTACTGTATAGATCTTCGAATTCTTGACAACAGCTGTGTTCCATGCGACCCAATACATTTATTGTTGAAATTGGAGGGTATTGGGAAGGGTCTTATGGGTTATTCCATAGAGCAGAGCAGAGTATGTGTTATTATGGAGATTTATCAGACAAAATCCATTTTCCCATCCTGTCCGCGAAACGCCGGATATCGAGCATGCAACAGAAAACGCAACAGAAAACCCCCTAACAATCATGAAAATGCATAGGTTCAAAGCCCAAACCAATTGTTGCTTCAGCTGAACATGTCCTCAGCACGGCGCCGGCGGCCACCGCGTCCCTCTAGAGTTTCGTCGAACAGTTCCTTGCCAGCGTTGTTGCCGTACTTAGAAGGGAAGAGTTCACGAACTGATGCACCCCTGCCCTTGATCGACATTCCCCCAGATGAGCCCCGGATGGCAAAGCCTTGGTCTTCACCAGCTGATCCTCGAATGCGAGTGCCTTCGTCCGATCCAGGGAAGAGTTCAATATTGCTGTTGCGACGGTGTTCAGAGTTTCCTGGGATGGAGGAAGCGTCAAACGCATCTGACCGACGGTGATGACTGGACTTGCTAGGCAGCAGTTCCTTCTTGATATAACTTGAGGTAGGCTTGTTTGGGAACAGCTCTCGGTTGCCAGGCTCATTGCTATCGCTCGGGAAGAGCTCCCGACCCTTGTTTCGACCAAGTCGCGGCGACCTCTCGCGGAATCGCCTGCTGTTGTCACGGTCTTCACGGTCGGCTCGCTTTGATTCCTCCAGTGTGTCTCGGCCGGGCGACGCACTGCGGTTGCGGAGACGTCCACTTGATCGTTCCTCATCTGCTGGGAACAATTCCCTCTGACCGCGGCCTCTCCGGCCTCCTCGGCCCCCTTGCTCAGTGGTACCGGAGCCTGCATTATCACCGTACATGTCGACATTGAATTGGTCATCCTCGTCTCGGTCTCGGCGTCGTCTGTGCTCCCGGTCATCGAATCGGCGCCGCCTGTAACCATCATCATCATCGCTGCGTCTCCGATCCGCAAATTCTTGTCGCAGACGTTCTCTGGGGTCGTGTTCGGGGTGCATAAGGTAGAAGCGACTCTTCTCATAAGAGCGGGCCTGTTTGCGGTCGGTCTTGACAGCCGACCGGACTTGGAGGACGGAGTCGGGGTGGGAGGAAAGGGGCTTCGCGGTTCGCAGGCGCAGTGCAGGTAGAGAAGACGCGTCTTCTTCCTCGTTTACTTGGGTGAGAGCCGCGAGAGCTTGGATGCCGACCTCGGTGGAGGAGTAGATGAGGTTGGCGGAGGTGTCATCGATCCATTCAACGCGCACTGGCTCTTCTGCGAAGTGACTGCAAGCGAATTGTTTGATATTTTCCGTAGTCAGTTCATCGACGCCGCGAACATGCACCTTTTCGTAGACCGCCTCTTCGTCGAGCGGATCGAGTGTGCTCTCCACGTTGGGGGCCGATTCCTAGTATTGAACACATGTCAGTGGGCAGAAAAAAAGCAAATGAGAGCCAAATAGACACATACCATCTGAATTGGCTCGGGCTCGGGCTCGGGTTCAGGTCCTAAGTCAAGGTCCATGTCGATATCCATGTCTGCGACAGGAGCCGCGGGCCCATTGATTGACACGTTCGGGGCGGCCATAACGGATTGTGAGGTGGAGGGAAATTCAAGTGGCTGGCGCGTTCCCAATTTATATAGAACTGACGACTAATCGAGAGCGATGAGCAGAGGTGAGCAGAGGTGAAAACCGTGGCGGGAGCTTGAACGTCGCGCGCCTGATAAGGATTAGCGCCTTTTTCCGGGGAACGGCAGTATAGACTGAAATGCGTATATCAGCCCTGGAGGTATTCATTGATTCTATGATTACTATAATTACTGTGGGATTGACATCAGATGGAGGAATATTCATTGGATAACTACTTATATACTTGGGTCATCCCAGAGAAAGACAAATATCCCTTGATAGAGACGACTGTCAATGGAAGCAGCCGAACCTAAAAGACCTATAATTAGTCTAATTGTTTCTCAATCTCAAAATTTGGTAGTGAGATCCTCTGTCCTGTGGCAGTAGATTCTCGTGCGGGCTCTTCGTGTGTTATCGTTTATTTGCACCCTCAGGCCTACTACTATGTGAATACAATACAACATGTTTGAAGGTAACGTTAACTCGGTACATCAAAGCACATTGTTCACCCACAGCGGATGATATAGATAATCTTTGATATTGATATTGATATTGAATTAGGCAGAGCCTAGGAATATAGCTAGCTTATTTGAGTGGATCTATAGCTTGCTTCTGTTCTTTGCATTCCCATGATCTAGAAACACACTACTATCCTCGCGGTCATGGTGTTTGTCCAAGTAGATCAAAAGATGAAGGAAATACTGGCTTCATTCCTCGTCCTCTCGGGCAGGTCATTCACCAATATGATATGACGGTTTCTTCTTTTGGAGACGGAGGTACATCCGTGACATATGTGGAAGACTGAATTTAGGCTAATCCCTCGGTCGACACTGCCTATGACCTCGAAGCGTTTAAAGGTCGGTATCTCCACCTCCACAGTTCTCCGAGCTCCGGCAGCTCTGGAGCAAATGGTTCTGGGTTCCGTATTTCCCTGCAGTCGATCTACGGGAAATACCATCAAAAATAGCCATGGCTCAGCCTTGGTACTACATACGTGGTGAGGGGTACATGTCATTCCTCAATACTTAAAGTTGCTTGAACTGGGCTATGTAACTGTGCAGCTAAAAGCCCTCTCAATCGTGCCATCTTCGAACAAGGACAGCACTAGCCACCACTCACGATTTTCTGTTCATAATGCTCTCTTCCGAAGGCGACAAGCTCGTCTTTCGTTTTGACGACCATATCCTATGGGTTCAGCCATGGGGAGAGAATTCATTTCGCATCCGAGCAACCAAGCAGGCATCAATGCCCACAGAAGACTGGGCCCTCTCCTCCAAGCCCGCAAGCGGAAACACGAGTATCGAAATACCCTTCACTGACCAAGATGCGCGTATCTCAAATGGCAAGATCAAAGCAACTGTTTCGCGCAGGGGAAAACTCACCATCTACAACTCGAGTGGTAAAAAGCTCTTGGAGGAGTATGCCCGACACAGACAAGACCCGAAGGACCCTAAATGCAGTGCATTAACAATAGAGGCTCGCGAGCTGCGTCCAATCTTAGGCGGAGACTACCACCTCACAATGCGGCTCGAATCTCTCGATCCTAAAGAAAAGATCTTCGGCATGGGTCAGTACCAACAGCCCTACTTGAATCTCAAGGGGGCAGACCTTGAGCTAGCACACCGAAACTCCCAAGCTAGTGTCCCCTTTGCGGTATCCTCTCTCGGCTACGGGCTTCTGTGGAATAACCCTGGCATTGGACGGGCAGTTCTAGGTACGAATGTCCTGAGCTTTGAAGCATACTCCACAAAGGCACTGGACTATTGGGTTGTGGCGGGGGATACACCAGCCGAGATCGAAGAGGCATATGCCCAAGTCACGGGCTATGTGCCCATGATGCCAGAGTATGGTCTTGGTTTCTGGCAATGCAAGCTCCGTTATTGGAATCAAGAGCAGCTACTCAATGTTGCGCGCGAGTACCACCGTCGCAATGTTCCTCTGGATCTGATTGTCGTTGATTTCTTCCATTGGAAGCATCAAGGCGAATGGAGCTTTGACCCGGAGTTCTGGCCGGATCCCGGTAAGTACTATACACAGTATACTATCAGGTAGATATCAAATCATGCTGACGTATGTAGATGCCATGATCAAGGAGTTGAAAGAGCTCAAAGTAGAACTGATGGTCTCCATCTGGCCGACAGTTGAAAACGCCTCTGAGAACTTCCCAGAGATGCTCGAACGCGGACTCCTAATCCGCCACGACCGGGGTATGCGCGTAGCAATGCAATGTGACGGCGACATAACACACTTCGACGCAACAAACCCAGAAGCACGAAAGTTCATCTGGAGCAGGGCAAAGAAGAACTACTATGATAAGGGCATCAAAATATTCTGGCTCGACGAAGCCGAACCCGAATACTCAATCTACGACTTCGATATCTACCGCTACCACGCCGGCAGCAACCTCCAGATCGGCAACACCTATCCCAAAGAATACGCACGCGGCTTCTACGAAGGCATGCAAGCAGAAGGCCAAACAAACATTGTGAACCTACTACGATGCGCCTGGGCGGGCAGCCAGAAATACGGAGCCCTAGTATGGAGCGGCGACATCGCATCCTCGTGGGACTCGTTCCGCAATCAGCTAGCAGCCGGGCTGAACATGGGACTTGCAGGCATCCCCTGGTGGACAACCGACATCGGCGGATTCCACGGCGGCAACCCAGACGACCCAGAATTTCGCGAACTGTTCACCAGATGGTTCCAATGGGGAGCGTTCTGTCCTGTGATGAGACTGCATGGAGACCGGGAACCCAAGCCGGAGGGACAGCCTACTGCCAGTGGAGCGGATAATGAGATCTGGTCGTATGGAGAGGAGCTGTATGAGATCTGTAAGAGATATATCGGGATTCGGGAGCAGTTGCGGGATTACACACGGGGGTTGATGCGGGAGGCTCATGAGAAGGGGACGCCTGTTATGCGGACTTTGTTCTATGTATTCCCTGACGATGAACGTGCCTGGGAGGTTGAGACTCAGTTTATGTTCGGGTCTAAGTATCTGATTGTGCCGGTGTTGAAGCCCGGACAGCGTGTCATCAAGGTCTATCTTCCTGATGGGGCATCGTGGAAGGTATGGGGTGGCCATGATGATGTCGTATATCAGGGTGGTCGAGATGTTGATTTCGACTGCCCGATTGAGAGCATGCCTGTCTTTTGTCGTCAGTAGATAGGCTGCCGGGTTGGGACCTTGGAGCTTTGGGTTTACAGATTGTTATTTCTTGCTTTCTACATCA